CTTTATATACAAACTGTCCAAAAATGTATACGTTATAGAGCACTTCATAGAGAGAGTCAGCATGGAGTAGTGGTTAGAACATTGGACTTGGGAGACAATTATTATGATTATGATTATGATTATGATTATGATTATTAAATTTATACCCCACCCATTTGGCTGGGTTTCCCCAGCCACTCTGGGCAGCTTCCAAGAAAATCCCCCATTCACCCATGAAACTCTCTGGGCGACCTTGAGCCAACCGCTGTTTTTGTGAGGATAAAATAGCAGAGGAGAAAGAACCTCGTTTAGCTGTGGTTCCTGTATTGCAGACCCTTGGGATCCCCTCCAGCTCCACGTTTCTGTGATTCTGTTATTTTTATTTATTAAATAAATAAGCTTCTTGAATCAAAAGCAAGATATAAATGTAATAAAAAGGCATTCAATAAGTGTCTGATCTTGCTCTTCATTTTACGGTGCACAGTGTAGTAGTAAAAAGGAACAGCAACAGCGTTCTCCCCTTCCCCTCTTGTATAGCCCCATGTTGCTCATGTTAAAAGGACAGAGCTATAAGGCAGCCGTAAGCAGCAACAGAAACACAAACGCCTTATGGGAAGGCATAAGAGATTGTAAGAGCCTTCACCTTACACTTAATGAAGAGCAGGGTAGGTGCCAGGCAGCCTGGGGCTGCTGGAGAAGAGTGTTCCCAAGTCAGGAGGCCATAGCTGGAACGACTCCATCTCCAGCCATGCCAGGGGGGCTTTAAGGGTCTTATTGCTACATTTGTGGAGCAATGCAAAATGCGAGGTTTTCACTGCAAAGTTCAGGGGTTTTGCTGCAAAAAGGCTGCAAAACTTTTGCACCAGTTTTGAGAGGATCCCAGATTTTGGGGTTCGTAGTTAATGAAGCTGAGGCCATATTTTTTGCTCTATAAAGGTAAAGGTACCCCTGCCCGTACGGGCCAGTCTTGACAGACTCTAGGGTTGTGCGCCCATCTCACTTAAGAGGCCGGGGGCCAGCGCTGTCCAGAGACACTTCCGGGTCACGTGGCCAGCGTGACATCGCTGCTCTGGCGAGCCAGAGCCGCACACGGAAACGCCGTTTACCTTCCCGCTAGTAAGCGGTCCCTATTTATCTACTTGCACTTTAGGGGTGCTTTCGAACTGCTAGGTTGGCAGGCGCTGGGACCGAACAACGGGAGCGCACCCCGCCGCGGGGATTCGAACCGCCGACCTTTCGATCAGCAAGTCCTAGGCACTGAGGCTTTTACCCACAGCGCCACCCGCATCCCTTTTTGCTCTATAGGACGCACTTTTTCCCCTCCAAAAATGAAGGGGGGAAGTGTGTGCGTCCTATGGAGCGAATGCAGGCTTTGGCTGAAGCCTGGAGAGCGAGAGGGGTCGGTGCGTACTGCCCCCTCTCGTGTTCCAGGCTTCAGGAAGCTATCCTCAAGCCTGCGGGAACTCCCGCCGGGCTCCGCAGGCTTGCGGATAGCTGCCTGCAGCCCGAAGCCCGGGGGCGCGGCACTGTGCACCCTGGGCTTCGGGCAGCTCTCCGCAAGCCTGTGGAGCCCGGCGGGAGTTCCTGACAGGCTCTGCAGGCTTGCGGACAGCTGCCTGCAGCCTGAAGCCTGGGGGTGCGGCACTGTGCACCCTGGGCTTCGGGCAGCTCTCCGCAAGCCTGCGGAGCCTGGCGGGAGTTCCTGACAGGCTCTGCAGGCTTGCGGACAGCTGCCTGCAGCCCAAAGCCCGGGGGCGCGGCACTGTGCACCCCGGGCTTCGGGCAGCTCTCCGCAAGCGTTCGGAATCCGGCGGGAGTTCCCGCCGGGCTCCCAAGGCTTGTGAATAGCAGCCTGCTCTCCCCGAAGCCAAAACAGCGAGACGGGGCGCTGTGCAGCCCTCCGTCTCGCTGTTCCAGCTTCGGGATGGCTGCGCAAAGCCTCCGTAGGAAGCTACAAAAGATGTCCCCGAAGCCTCAAGCCTTTAGAGTGCAGCTGCGCTCCAAAGGCTTCAGGGATCTTTGAGGCTGGCGGTGGGGGAAAGCAGCGCTTCCCCCCACCGCCAGCCCCACAAGCTTGGGGGGCAGTGGCAAGGCTTTGCCCTGTTCCCCGACCTGCTCTTGAACGCACCTTGTTTTTGAGGGGGAGAACAAGAAATTTTTTTTTTCCTGTTCTCCCCCTCCTATGGTCCGGTACGTCCAATAGAGTGAAAAATACAGTACTTCTAACAGCTTTTCTTTTCATTTGATTACAGTAGATTTAAAAAATAGTAACTATTTTTCACAATGCTACCCAAATCACTTTCAGAGGTACTGTATTATATTTATAAATAGGAAGGGGAAAATTCCACATTCGTGACATAATGACAAATAAACCATGTATATAAAGGAAAACAAGCTCTTTAGAGTACTTTATATAAAGTTCCAGTGGGCTCCCCCCCCCCCCGTGATTCCTTTTCTTCCTTTTGGTTGCCTGTCTCTGCAGCCAAGAGCTCCCCCTCCCTGGCTGGGCTGCTCTAGCTTTTGGGGCTCAGAGTTCCTGTGAGATTTGCATGCTGCTGCTGCTGCTGTCACGTAGGCCCTGGATGTGAAAATCAGTCTCTCTTCATGACTCATAACCCATCAATTCAGTGGAAGGGAAATCCAGACGTGCGCCAGAGGAGAATTAATTTCACAAAGGCAAGCACAGAAATCCTAGGAAATTGCTAGTTAAACCTACCTACCCTTTCCACTCTTGCAAGGCATAGCTATTGGAAGCAGAAACAGCGTAATTTTAGCCAGCAAATTTTATTTATCTGGTTGTTTGTATCCTGTCCTTCTGGGGCGCATGAACAAAGTTTCAAGGCAGCCCTCTCAGCTGGGCTAGAATAGCCAGTAGTCAGGACCGAAGAGTAAGTCAGAATCATAGTGTAAACCAGGTTGCAGGATTGCTTCACATGTTAGATTCCTACAAAAGAAATAATGGTGTATTTTAAAACAATAGTTCCCATCTGAAACACATTTTCTCTGAAGTAAATTGTATTAGTTTTGATGGAGTTGAAAGTCAACTCATGCTTAGAATTGCAGCGTTATTTTAATTTCCAGTTTATGATTCAGTTATAATTAGTTCATTAAAAGTCTCTTTCTTTCACTTAGCCACAGGGCTGCAGCAATAGTTAGTGGCTGGGTGCGTGTGTTCACACACTAACTGGTTGCTTGTCTAGGAAACTCCTTACCAGCCCCACCCCTGACCAGGCCACCCACATGTAGATTGTGTCTAGATTGTGTCTGCCAAAGGCAGCCCCACAGATGTCACAGACTGGTTGGACACAGAGGAATGGTGGGAGGTACCCATAGCTGTCAATGTTTCCCTTTTTTAAAGGGAAAATCCCTTATTCCGAATAGGATTCCTCGCAAGAAAAGAGAAAAGTTGACAGCTAGGGAGGAACCAGCAGGGGAGCCCCCCAGTGAAGAAGGCTGAGTGGTCGGAGGAAGAAGAGAGAGAAGAAGGGGGAGGGGAGGTGTTGGAAGCTGAAGAGGAAACAGGGTGGGGTGGTCTGTGACGGAGAGAAGTCCACACTTAGAGGTAGAAGTGGAAGCAGGAGAGGAGGGAGGCCAAGAGGCAGAAATGAGTCAGGCTGGTGAAGAGGCACAGGTGTCTTCCTCTCCTGCTGTGACAAGCTCCTGCCACCCCATCCCCCCAGTTTCTAAGAACCAGAAGAGGCATGAAGAGGGCGGAGCAGAAGGTAGCTTCACACAGGCGCAGTCTCAGATTGCTTGGAGTAAACCTTGGAGAGGAGGGGACTTGGGGAGGCAGGGACCTCCCGTCTCTGCAACTGCTTCATGGGGGCAAGACCTGTCGGAGATGAGTTGCTATGCTCATTAGGCCAGACACTCCTGTGCAAATCCTGTTTTTGCTAATAAAGAGTTAACTCCAACTTGCTCGGTTTAATTTACTGCTGGCTCACTCCTGTCACCAGGCCTCTCTTATCTGGCCTTCAGGACTCTCATTAGCTCCTCTCTTTCCCAGGCCACACCCCACACTCGTCCTGCTCCATGTTTTCCTCAAGTGCTTTTGCTTGGCTCGAAGGTGTCCTTGGACATTGAAACAGGCCTCTAGCTTGTCTCAGTGGAGGACTGAGAAATGTGTGTGTGCACAGGGTATGTAGGTGTAGAAACCTCTGACTTTTGTGGAGCTGGAACGTAGCCTACTATGCAAAAGTAAGAGTCACATTAATTGACCTGCCAAGTTTTGCCTCTGGCCCCACTTGCTGCCCAAGAATGGTCCCATAGGAAGGAATGCAGCCCTCCAGCTGAAAAAGATTGCCCACCCCTAATCTAGAGCCATGACCAGATCTCCAGTCCAGGCCTTGGATGTAAAGAGTCCGCTGGGTGCACCATCACTTCCAGGCACATGCCAAGGTTTTTATGATTTTCCATCCTGGTCTCATCTCACCATGCTTCTACAATTCCTCAGGGCTTTAGAACAGCCTTGCTGAGCAGTTCTGGGAGCAGGGAGGCATGACTGGGAAAAGACCTCAAATGCCCCACTATCAGCACAGAGGCGCTCAAGGCAGCAATTTGAATCCTGGTTGAAGCCTTAGTGTTGTTAGTTTAGTTAATGCACAGGTATATACAGTGCTTTTTTTCTTTAAAAAAATGTTTAGGGGTACTCAAGAAAACCACCATTTTATAGTTCAAATTGGGGGAAATAAATGCAGTAAATGGACAAAAGTACAAAGATTCACAAAATGTTTAGGGGTATGGGTACCCCTGCATCCCCTCATAAAAAGCACTGTGTGTGTGTGTGTGTGTGTGTGTGTGTGTGTGTACGTGTGTACACCCACCCATACCGCCCTAGGATCTTTTGATAAAGGGCAGTATATAAATTGAATAAATAATAATAATAAAAATAAAATAGTAATATTTGTTTTATCAACGCAACAAATCTGTTGTTTGTGATGTATTTCTTGCTTGGTTTGTATCTGCGTTGTGGCCAATGGATTAGCAACAAACCTTTGCCTGTCTCCAACTCCTTTTCCTAGAACATGAACATCCAGGTGGAAGATGCCCAGATCCGACCCATCCTCTCTGCCTCTCGCAAGCGTGTTCCCGTCACAGAGGGTTACGTGGAAGTGAAAGAAGGAGGCGTCTGGAAACGCATCTGTGACAGGAACTGGACCACAAAAAACTCACGTGTTGTCTGTGGCATGTTTGGATTTCCATCAGAGAAGAAATACAATGTCAGAGTCTACAAGTAAGAGAGGGTTTTAAAAGGGGGTGGTTGTGTTCTTGGTCCCTGCTTAGAGCTAGAGGTTTCCAAATGAGGTGGCAAATTACTTTGGTGTCCCCCACCCCCTGGTCAATGTATTAAGCAGCTTCTTTTCTTCCTTTAATTTCCTTCATAACAAGGGAGGCCCCCAGGCAGCTGCAGAACAGCTTGTGTTAGGAAACTGTTTGTATTGTTTTTCCAGCCTGAAGACCATGATTTGTGGGGCAACCGTGGAGGGAGGTCCAAAGGATCAAGATTTGTGGTTTTTTTTGCTTGTTCTTCTGGCTTGTCGAAAGGCTGTTTCCCACTGAGGTTCCTGCTTACAGGATTCCACTGCCTATGTTTCTTGTTGTTCTTCATTAGTGAGAAAAGTCAAAACAGAAAGGCTCCTGGATTAGAATCATGTAAAGCAGCATGGAAAGGCTCTTTCTTTTTCAAAGTCCAGATGCTTTTGGTTTTTTCCACAGGCATCAGTAAATAAGCGCTTCCAAGTGACCTGGTGTTGTGTCCAGTGCATGGAAACAAAATATCACATGTTTATGCCAGTTCTCGCCTCCTCTCTTGGAATCTTTAAAACCCACCGTTTATATTTCAGCCTGGTGCATTGTGAAAGAATTCACCACAAGAAGGGCAGAGAGAGAGAGAGACGCATGTGAACTCGCTTCTTTTTGACATGGTGCTGACATGTTGTGGTGCCTTGTCAATCTATATCTGGTCATCTGCTCCTTACCATGAATTGTATCTTGTCAGTCTGCGCTCTGCATGCCCTGCTGCCCTACAAGCAGCGGTTTGCAAAAGTTGAGGTTTAGTGACAGTGCCAAAGTACTACATCCTGCCCCACCAGAACATCTCCAGGTGGGGGCAGATTATGGGCTGGCATTTGATGGCAATGGCTTGTATCCCATGCAGCACTTAGTAACTTTCTCATCCATGCAAAGTTTCTGTGTTTCCTGAATTTTGCAATGCAGTTCTAGCAATGTGTATAAAAATGCACATACTAAAATGTGCACATAAATGCACATATTAGTGGAGGGGGAATCATAAAATGCATTATATTGGAGAAAATTGCATGCAAGATATGCATAGTAGAAGAAATTAGCTCTAACATGCTGATGAATTTTAAAGGAGGACTTTATTTGCAAACTAATATAGAAATGTGCTGAACTGAACTTAATAATAGAAAAATTAGAAACTGAAATTTACATATTCAGCAATCCTAAATGTGCCTGACATGAAACTCAGTGTGCACATTTAAACATGACACAGGGCCTTCTGTAATAGTGGAGGTCATTTTTGTGGGAGATGTGGAATAGAGATCTCTGAAGGCAGAAAAGCTGGAGAATCATGTGAGGTATGAGTTTCTCTAAATGCTGAGCCCAGCCCCAGACTACCCATGTTCATGTTGGGATGTTGGTTGGTATCTACCAGCTCTCTCTTTTCCCAGCGTGTTCCTTAATGCTGCCTTTGTATTTTCACATACTGCCTTAAAGGGAAAGCAAAGTCTCCAGTCACTTGGATCCAGTCATTTTTGCACGTGACTCTGAAGCCCTGTTAACATGCCTCTCATTTCTCTGGTTTCACTCTGCATAATATTGTAGTTACAGATGGGTAGCCGTGTTGGTCTGCCATAGTCAAAACAAAAAAAATTCCTTCCAGTAGCACCTTAAAGACCAACTAAGTTAGTTCTTGGTATGAGCTTTTGTGTGCATGCACACTTCTTCAGATACACTGTGTATCTGAAGAAGTGTGCATGCACACGAAAGCTCATACCAAGAACTAACTTAGTTGGTCTTTAAGGTGCTACTGGAAGGAATTTTTTTTTTTTTCATAATATTGTAAATAGCCTTTTCCAGAAGGGTGGGGCCTTCCATTGACACTGTGGTTTCCACAGCTGGGAAACCAGTTTCCAAATTGGGTTTCTACTCCAATAAGCTGACTCTGTACTTCTGGGGGCTGTGGGTTAAAAGGAACCCTCCCCCCCTTGCCCGCAGAACTAAGAATTTTCATTCCCGAAGCGTAACCTCAGCTTTTACGTGCTGAGGCATTCCACGTGAGACTGCTGAACTTCATGATGGTGAGAAGCCAAAAGATTCCCAGATGCCTCATTTCGCTAAAGAAAACAACTTAGTTCATCATCGTCCTTGCTGCCAAACTCTCACCCTGGAATGTAATTTGGGTTCTGCATTTGACAGTGCAGTTTTATAATTAAAGGAAAAACAAACTTTAAAGCTCTGGGAGTTTCCTATCCTACTGTTCGTTTCACTGAACTCACTCTTTGAGGCCATTTTCCTAATCATTCTTGTACCATAAGAGCATAAGAAGAGGCCCCTGGATCAGACCAAAGCACCATCTAGGTCAGCATCCTGTTCTCACGTTGGGCAACCAGATGTCCATGAGAAGGAAGCCTGCGAGGAGGACCTGAGCTCAACGGCACTCGCCCTATTTGTGCAACTGCTATTCAAGATGTACTGCCAGTCACAATGGTTATATTCTACCCCCGAGCGCATGGAGGCACTGTTTACCTTCCCGCTGCAGCAGTACTTCTTTATCACTTGACACAGTCCTCTGTGCGCCAGAAGCGGTTTAGTCCTGTTGGCCACGTGACCCAGAAAGCTGTCTGTGGACAAACACCGGCTCCCTTGGCCTGAAAAGCAAGATGGGTTCCACACCCCAGAGTCACCTTTGACTGGACTTAACCGTCCAGGGGTCCTTTACTTTTTTTATTATTCTACTCCCACTGTCAGAGGCAGTATGTATATCCCTGAATAGTGGTCTCGGGGAATCCCAAGTTGGTATGGTCTTGTTGTACTCAGGTCCTGTTTTGCAGTTTCCCATAGGCTTCTGGTTAGCCACTTTGAGAGCGAGATGCTCTATTAGAGGAGCTAGTGGCCTGATCCAGCAGGGTTTTTCTGTTTTTATGCTACCTTGATGGTGGAGGCAGTGTATAGCCATCGTGGCTAGTAGCCACTGAATAGTCCTACCCTCCATGAATTTGTCTGATCCTCTTTTAAAGCCATCCATGTTGAGGAGAGCCCTTCTGGATGGTGTATTTAGTCCAGCATCATGTTTCATGCACTAGTCAACCAGAAGGTTCTGGGAAGCCCACAAGAAGGACATGAAGACCATTGTCCATGGGAAACATAGGAAGCTGCCTTATACCAAGTCAGACTTCTGGTCCATCTGTCTTAGTCTTTTTGACACTGACTGGCAGCAGCTCTCCAGGTTTTCAGTCAGGGCTGTTTCCCAGACCCAGGCAAGTCAGTGATTGAACCTGGGCTGTTGACATCCTTCCCTACCCTGGCCCCGCGGTATCTGAGCTTCAGAGGCATACCTGGAAGTCTCTTTTAGCTATCATGGCAAATAGCCACTGATAAAACTACTTTCATGGATTTGTAGTGAAATGTCTGTCTAAAGGTAAAGGTACACCTGCCCGTACGGGCCAGTCTTGACAGACTCTAGGGTTGTGCGCCCATCTCACTCAAGAGGCCGGGGGCCAGCGCTGTCCGGAGACACTTCCGGGTCACGTGGCCAGCGTGACATCGCTGCTCTGGCGAGCCAGAGCCGCACACGGAAACGCCGTTTACCTTCCCACTAGTAAGCGGTCCCTATTTATCTACTTGCACCCGGGAGTGCTTTCGAACTGCTAGGTTGGCAGGCGCTGGGACCGAGCAACGGGAGCGCACCCCGCCGCGGGGATTCGAACCGCCGACCATACGATCGGCAACCATACGATCGGCAAGCCCTAGGCGCTGAGGCTTTTACCCACAGCGCCACCCGCATCCCCGAAATGTCTGTCTAGCACTAGTCAAATCCTTAGAATAGAATAGAATCATAGAGTTGGAATAGACCACAAGGGCCATCGAGTCCAACCCCCTGCCAAGCAGGAAACACCATCAGAGCACTCCTGACATATGGTTGTCAAGCCTCTGCTTAAAGACCTCCAAAGAAGGAGACTCCACCACACTCCTTGGCAGCAAATTCCACTGTCGAACGGCTCTTACTGTCAGGAAGTTCTTCCTAATGTTTAGGTGGAATCTTCTTTCTTGTAGTTTGGATCCATTGCTCCGTGTCCGCTTCTCTGGAGCAGCAGAAAACAACCTTTCTCCCTCCTCTATATGACATCCTTTTATATATTTGAACATGGCTATCATATCACCCCTTAACCTTCTCCAGGCTAAACATGCCCAGCTCCCTTAGCCGTTCCTCATAAGGCATCGTTTCCAGGCCTTTGACCATTTTGGTTGCCCTCCTCTGGACACGTTCCAGTTTGTCAGTGTCCTTCTTAAACTGTGGTGCCCAGAACTGGACACAGTACTCCAGGTGAGGTCTGACCAGAGCAGAATACAGTGGCACTATTACTTCCCTTGATCTAGATGCTATACTCCTATTGATGCAGCCCAGAATTGCATTGGCTTTTTTAGCTGCCGCGTCACACTGTTGGCTCATGTCAAGTTTGTGGTCAACCAAGACTCCTAAACTTACTACCAGATCAATCCCCAAAGCAAAATCCTGGCTACCACAAGCAGCTGCCTCCATCAAGCAACTCTCGGGCATTTGTCAATTCACAGTCTAAATTGCTGACACAAGTAGATAATTCATTTAAAAAAAACTATTGTGGATTTAGGCAGAGTGGAAGGTTTCCTCAAAGCATTGCACAACACAGCATTCTGAGATTTTCACTGCCATGCGTAGCAGGGATGGTGAACCCAGGTCCCTTCAGATTCAGTTGGACTTGCTCTCCCATCATCCCTGGCCATTGACCAAGCTTGTTGGGGCTCATGGGAGTTGGAGTCCATTAGCAACTGGAGGACCACAGGTTCCCCTGTCCTGCTATACAAGACATTGAATCCTTAAAGCCATATTGAAGTAGCTCAAACCTTGGTCCTGAATTGAGAGCTCTTCTTTTATGTATAAGAGATGTGTTCTTAATGAGTTCTGTTTCTTTCATGTATCTCAGTTCAATATTTGGATGAATATGCTTATTTGATTGTGTGAATTTATCTGGCTTGCATGTGAGCAGTGTCACAAGACTTGGCCCATAAGACAAACCTATTGCTTCAATTAATCTGGCTAAACACAACTTTTTGTTATCTCAGCATGTGGCTCTCAGTGATTCCAGTTTCTTCCTTCCTTCAAGGATGACGGCAGCCAGAAGAAAGCACACTTATTGGGCTTATTCCATGGACTGCACGGGCAATGAGGCACACATCTCCAGCTGCAAACTGGGCAATCGCATCAGCACAGCTAGTGGGAACGCAACATGTGAGAATGGGATGCCTGCCGTGGTGAGCTGCTACCCTGGTCGTGCTTTTGCCCCTGGCAGCCACAGCGGTTTCCGAAAAGCTTTCCAACCCGAGGTAAGAGAGACAGAAATATGTTCAGCTATTGCTGAGGAGCGTAAATTTGTGGAGCTTGAAATAAGCTGTGGGTATTCAACCAACCATGTGGCTCATGTGGAAGGCTTAAGCTAACCCTCCGCACCATACGTTTGAATCACTCTTATACCACTTTAACAACATGGCTTCCCACAAAGAATCCTGGGAACTGTAGTTTGTTAAGGGTGTTGGGGGCTGTAGCCCGTGACAAACTTCAGTTAGCGATGACTGTTAAAGTGGAATGGTGTGGATATGACTGAGACAAATGTTTTCTCATCTAAATCTACCTAGGAAGGCAACAGGAAAGGCCTGACTCCACACAGAGACTATGTCTGCTTGCCACCCCCTGATCCACGGACAGCCACCTTGTGGCTGAAGAGCCACACCCAACTTTGGGTCCTGATTGTCTCCAGCCCACACAACCTTTCCGACTGCATCTTTTTAAAAATAATAATAATAATATTTATTAAGTTTTCCAATTTAACAATCCAATAAAAACCACATTAAAAACATTTCAAATTATAAAATAATCAAACAGTCCAAATGTTATGCCAAATTATAAATCTTTGTTTGACTTCCCATGCTCTGAGGTCGGGCGGTGGCATTCATCTCACATTTATTCTGCTCCTAAGTTATTCTCTGATTGCATCAAGTTGGATGCAGTGACTCAAATGCCTCTCATTAATTTATTACATTTATATCCCACCTTTCCCCCAAGGTCTCAGTGTTGTATACATTGTTCTCTCCCCTCCCCTTTTTATGTTCATATGGTGAGAGCTAATGACTGGTCCAAGGTAATTCTGTGACTTTCATAGCTGAGTAGGGATTTGAACCAGTGTCTCCCTAATCCTAGGCCAAGCATGTGTCTAATCCATTACACCACACTGGCTAATTTCCCAATGGAAGAAGGCCTGCCCATATTCTTCAGCCATGGAGAGGGCATGCACTCCCTGGCCAAGTTTCTAGTGGGAGATGCACAGTGATATCATGACCTGGTCAGTTTGGGGCCTGAGTAAGTGGACTATTGCTGTCCTGTTCGCTGAATTACTTGCATTCAAGCATGTCTTCACTGTAAATCAGCCTTTGTCCGCCTAGAAGCCTCTGGACACTTTGGACTCTGCAAACTCCTGTCAGCAATAGCCAGCCACAGCATCTTGGGAGCTGAGGGGCACCAGGTTGACATCCTTTACCCTCAGTGAACCATGTGAGAGGTTTATGGATCTCTAAAAGAAAACTCTTGGTATCCTCATCACAAAACGGCAGCCTTCAGGTGTCCTTGGGGGAAGCTGTTGCCATTAAACTGGGTACATCAATGCCCACAGCACTGTAGCTTAAGCCTATTTCTTTCACAGTTAATGTGGCTGAAAGTTTGCACAACCATGAGCAATGGGATAAGATATTCCAGTGTGACTCATAGCACATTTCCATGAATTCCTTGTGCATATTTGGGCATTATTTACAGAGCTGTAGGAATACACATACTCTCTGGGATGCAGTGACGGGATAACAGCGTTCTCAGCAGTTGCCTTAGTAGATTGTCCAACCACAGTACAGTGGTACCTCGGGTTACATACGCTTCAGGTTACAGACTCCACTTACCCAGAAATAGTACCTTGGGTTAAGAACTTTGCTTCAGGATGAGAACAGAAATTGTGTGGTGGTGGCGTGGCAGCAGCAGGAGGCCCCATTAGCTAAAGTGGTGCTTCAGGTTAAGAACAGCTTCAGGTTAAGAATGGACCTCTGGAACGAATTAAGTTCTTAACCCGAGGTACCACTGTATGAACCCATCTTTGAAACTGCTATCTATCTATCTATCTATCTATCTATCTATCTATCTATCTATCATCTATCTATCTATCTATCATCTATCCAGTTGCAAAAGTGGTCCAGGAATTAAGGGATGGTTTCATTGCTGATATCATGGGCATTAACCAATGATTACTCATCACAACGAGCCCCTCACCCCAATTCAGAGTGAATGGTTCCAAGAAAGCAACAACCACACTGAAGCTCTTGTTTTCCAAAGCTTACCACTCTAGAACAGAAATGCAAGTTTGTTTGTCAGTAGGGAAGATGTACTCAACTCAAGCTACATTTACTACTCTTAAAAAGTTGCATCTGTCTTCAGTCCATCAGAGCAACATTTGTACTGTAACGATGCTAGTGTTCCTGTTGTGCAAGGCCTCGTTTATAGCCTCCCTCCAGTTTTGACCTGGGATGTTTTTTGACTGAGGACAGCGTATGTTCCATTTAGTGCTGGAAATGGCAAGGCTCTTGGCAAAACACTTGCCACATTCTTGTTCAAAATTCTTCTGTTCAAGCCAACTGACTGCTGAGCTGGCTGGCTTGGCTGAACTTGCAGCTCCTTGTTTCTCTCCTGCTGTCTGCTATTCTTGCTATGTAGATGTTAAATGTGGACAATTCCTTTCTGTTATATAACTGTGACTTGTAACAGATAAACTACCCAAAGGAACATACAGTACAAGCATTGGTTTTGGGTTTTTTTTATATATAGATGAATGTTTGATGCTGGTGAAACTGGTTAGCAGCACTCCTGGAGATTATGGATCCATGATCCCATCTTGTATAAAAAAGCTGCCACACTTTAATGCATGGTTAGGCAAACTAAGGCCCTGGGGCCGAATCTGGCCCAATTGCCTTCTCAATCCAGCCCACAGACGGTCCAGGAATCAGCATGTTTTTACATGAGTAGAATGTGTCCTTTTATTTAAAATGCACCTCTGGGTTACTTGTGGGGCATAGGAATTTGTTCATATTTTTTCCCCAAAATATAATCTGGCCCCCCACAAAGTCTGAGGGACAGTGGACCGGCCCCCTGCTGAAAAAGTTTACTGACCCCTGCTTTAGTGTCACGCCTTGTTTCCTACATTCATAGCAGAGATAGAAATTGCAACACAGGAAGCATGATGCCATTTAGGTTGCAGACAGATGTATGGAGCTGGATTGATTAGCCGAGGCCAGCCACTTCCAACTTCCAAAAGGTTGCAGTCTGTTCCCAGTATAAAAAACTGGCAGTGATCTATCCATTGTCATTGGAGGGACCAGGAGCGTGCACGGGGTGCTGTGTGGAAGGTGGTGGCTAATTGGACGCGGGAGGGGGGGAAAGAAAGGGAGGCAAAAGTTCTCTCCCTCCCCCAAGCTGCTCTCTCCCCCCCCCCAGCCAGCCCTTTCTCTCCCCCCGCTGTCAAAGGGAGCTGTGCAGTTGATACGGACCAGGCTGTCACACACAGACCAGAACTGACTATTGCTCCAGCTCTTTCCCTCTAACTATCTGCTCAACTATCTTAGAAACTATCCTTTTATTCTCCCTCCCAAAACACTGGCTCCACCCCCCTTTTGGTAACCAATCAGACAGAGGCTTCAGCCCTCTGGTGGAATTCAGAGGCACTGCATCACCAGACTCTGGTCTGGCTCAGCTGTCCATCACACCATCATTTGATTCCAAAATGCATCCATAAAACACCTGAGTTCTGTGGGAGAAGGAGGTTTTTTTTCCCTAATGGAATTTCAGACTAACCTAGCTGGGGTGGAGTTCCTGGAACAGCCCTGTTCTCCTGTAAGTCATCAGAGAGTGCATTTATTTCAGCACCAAGAATTGCTCTATTTGTTTTTTATATAGAAGCATGGATTTTCAGTCCTCTAACCTTATGGTGGAGTATGTACATCGTGTCCTTGGATGAGGAACCTGTTTTCAGTTTATTTAAAATATTTCCTATGGCTCATAGCTGTTGATGTTCTTGTTGGATTTGGGGGCCTGAAGGAACATGAGCGTTAGATACTCCTGAGTGGGCATAGCTGTGCCTCTTTTTAATTCCAACTTTTCAGGAGCTGGAATTCAACAATCATTATCATTATCAGTAAAGGCTGAAAAGATGACATCTTTATACCTGATACAAAATTCTGTCAAGGAAATCAAATTAACCATGCAAGTTCATCTCTTCTCCCTCCTTCATCCAAATTTAGAAAATGTGCACAAATGTGTTAGGATTACACAATCTAGCCTGCTTCAGCTAATCATAGGGCACAGAAGCTCCTCTTGACCTGTCGACTACTGAGAAGCCTAATCTGTCCCTTTAAGGCAGAGTTAAAAAGGAGTAGGCCAGGAATGACCTCATATTCCTTGAAGCGCCCATAAGTTGGGGGAGGGAAAATTTTAATTTTATTTGCATTTTAATGAGAAATTACCTAATTCACATTTCTGAAACCAGTATATAAACTGAAAACACATCTATTCTTCAAGATTCAGCGTTCCCCAAATTTTGTGATGCAGTTCTCTGACCAAATAATTTGTATCAAACTGTGTATATTAGGATAAAGTGTACATCAAAATGGATCGTATTTGGGATTCTTTACAGAAATGTGTACATTTGTCAAAACTGCATACACAAATGTACATTTTTTTTAAATCACTAAAATGATGCGGAATTTCATTATTTTTTTCCAAAAAAGAAATAACAAATTGCTGTGAAAATGTGAAGAATTGAATTAAAAGTTGAAAATGTGAGAAAATGACTCCTCTGTCCCCACAATGAATCGTGCCCTAGGTTGCGGCATCACTTAACCATCCCTCCTTCAAAACAATGTGTGTTTTAACAACAATTTGCCACCTCCAGTAGTGTATTCAGGAAAATTGCATCTATAAACCGAGTTAATTTCATCTCCAGTTCCTAGTAGGAAGCAATTTGCTCCACGTTATAGACAGCTGCCTGTGACGGTTACATTCCTATGAACTTAAGGGTTTTTCCCCTTGGTCTTTATCTTTCAGTTTCCACTGGTGAGGTTAAAGGGAGGAGCCAAGATTGGCGAAGGTCGCATTGAAGTGCTGATGAATGGGGAATGGGGAACTGTTTGCGATGACCAGTGGAACCTCGTTTCTGCAAGTGTGGTCTGCCGAGAGCTAGGCTTTGGATCTGCCAAAGAGGCTATTATGGGTGCAAGGCTTGGGCAAGGTAAGCATGCTTCCTGTGCAGGAACCTTTAGAGGGGGCTGTCAGGACAGCAAGATGAAGAACTCAGTGGCTGAGTGCCTGCTTTGCGTGAAGAAGATCCCAGGTTCAATCCCCAGCACCTCTGGTTTAAAATCAAGGGACCAAGCATCAAGGGCTGGGCAGCAACTCAGGAACCCTTGGAGAGCTGCTGCCATTGAGAGTATTGACTCAAGATAAAAACAAAAACAGCTAAAAACATTAAAAATCATCATTGAAAAAATTAAACACACACACATATATGAGAGAGAGAGAGAGAGAGAGAGAGAGAGAGAGAGAGAGAGAGAGAACCATACAAATAATTACAGTAAAATAGCACAGTATCTGCCTTTCATTAAAAGCAGTTGGTTCCCAAAAGCCTCTTGGAGCAAGAAAGCCTTCACCTGCCAGTGGAAGGACAACAAGGAGGGAGCCTGTCGAACTTCTCTGGGGAGAAAGGTCCATAGTCTGGAGAAACCACGGAGAAGGCCCTCTCCTGCACCCCTACCAAGTGTGCCTGTGAGGGTGGTGGGACTGAGAGAAGGGTCTCCCCCAAAGATTTCAGGCAGGCTCATATGAGGGAATATGGTCTTTCAGGTAGCTTGGACTTAAGCCATGTGGGCTTAGGTATAGGTATGTAGAGTAGATAATGTCAGGTTAGAGGGCAAGTCGTCTAACCTGGAACAAGGCATCTTCCTATGTCCCTATGCAGTAGCAAGACCATGGTCCATACTCACAGATATTCTGAATACCCACAGAGGGGTGCAATGTGTGTCTGTACAGACACATATTGATCTCACCTGTGGGGGATCTTATCAGTGAAGGCTGGGACATTCAGCCTTGGGGAAGTTGCAGCTCTTGCTGTCACCGCAACATTGTCCTGCATTGCAAGTTTTGTTTTTCCTCCTAGATGTGAATGACAACCACTTGCTTACTTGAGGGGTGCACTTGATTCCACCCCAGGCCTGGGTTCAATGTCTTGATCATGCTAGAAAAGAGGTGGGCATCTTTTCTGGCCCAGATCTGCATTCCTTTATGGGCCACGTCCAGGGGGACATATACCAGCAGAGGATGAGCCCAGAGGCAAAAGAGGGCAGCAGCAGAAGCAGCAAAACGGGTGGGGCAATGAATGTGGCTCCTACCTTTAGCCAGCAGGAAACAAAAAAGAAATTTTTGACACACAAACTCCATCCAGGCAAACAAGAGGCATTATCAGCCCCAAGGATATGTTCTTGGAGTGCGTTGGCCTGGCTGGAGCAGGTCCTTAAACTGAAGAGAGCAGGGTTATCATTAGCTCTGATAATGCCTGCATGGAGAAGTGTGTTTGTGTTGAACAGGGATGGGGAACTCTATGACTTTCCAGGTGTTGGTGGACTACAGCTCCCATCTTCCCCGGCCATTGGCCATGCGGCCCTGGGCTGATGGGAGTTGGAGTCCAACAGCATCTGGAGGACCACAGGGATAGAAAGTAGCCAGCTGTGGACAGGGTAAAGGTTTCCAGGTCTGCTCTACCCACTTTTGCCTGTGGCCCCATCCATCGCAGGCATGTGGCCCCCAGCAGGGAGCGTGGTCCTCAAGCTGGGAAAGAAGGTTCCTTGCAGCTTTGTGAGGCAATTGTTTCCATGGACTCTTCCTCAGCCCCCAGACCTGTATTACTATCCACTACCTAACCAAAAACCACACCATAAAACATAATGGAAGGGTGAGATGCCTCCAGAGCTGTGTGGTTTGGGGTGAAGGAAAAGGAAAAGGAATAAAAATGTATGAGACACACTGCAGCTCTCTGGAATCTTAAAAATGCAAGCTTGCCAGCCAAGCAGCACACAAGAGTTCTCTGATGTGAATTTAATTGCAGTTATGGCTGCAGAAGTGCCAGCCATCACACGAAAAGGTTTGGCTGCCACGTGAAGGGCTCAAACGTGCTGCCTGCTGCCACATTACACAGTCAGACCCTGGAAACTCTCTCTCTCTCTTTTTTTTTTTACCGTCTTGGGTGGCTGAGCTGAAAAAGATCTCTCTCTGCCTGAAGCCTTGGCAAGTTGCTCCTGCCAGCCAGAGCAAGCAATATTTGGTTTGATGGATCGATGCTGTAACCAATAAGGTGGCTTCATATGTTGGGGGCAAAATGCTAGCATAAATGAATTTGGGGCCTTTCTTAAGTCCCTAAAACCCATCCAGGCTGGATATGCTTAGATTGGAGAAGAGAAGATTAAGGGAAGATGTGATTGTGGTCTTCTAATATATGAAGGGCTGTCATAACAGAATATGGATCAGACTTGTTGTCTGTGTCTCAAGGCGGCAGGACTAGGAACTGATGGGTAGAAATTGCAAAGAGGCATATTTCAGCTGGACAGTGGGTGATGCTTTCTATTAGTGACGGGTGTTTGACAGTGCAGCAGGCTGCCTCAGGTATTTATGGGTTCTCCTTCATTAGAGGTTTTAAAACAGATGTCAGACAGCCCTCTGTCAAGGATGCTATAACTGCATCCTGTGTGGCAGATCCGGCAGATCCATCTCTAGGATTCTATGATCTGGTAAACTGGGGATTTTCACATCAGTTAATTGGCTCCAAACCCTCACATTATGGATTGTATACAACTTACCTCTTCTCAGAGTAGACCCATTGAAATTAATAGACCTAGGTTAATCATATCTATTAATTCAGTGGGTCTACAGAGTATGCCATTAGTGAAAGGCTAACTACAGAAATACGCCTGCACATGCAAACACTCATATAGTGGAGAAAGTGCTGGACTTGAGAAAACAAGGACTCCAAGCCCTGCACAGCAATGAAACTCACTAGGAGATCCTGAGCCGGTAGCATAATCTACCTCACAGGGTTACTGTGAGGATAAATGGGGAACAACCCCAGGCATGCTGCTTTGAGCTTTTGTGATGAAGAATGGAGTGCACATGTGATCTACTGCATCTACTGTATGTGAGTGTAGGTTAGTTGCACCCTCCCAGCCTATGATACATTTCTTTGACCCCTGGAAAAGCTGCTTCTCCTTCTCCACAGTCTCCCAAACAAAGCCTCTCTCCATCAGAAGGTGGCATCTTCTGATTCATGGGTTCTTGGGACAGGTGTTGGCTCAGGCACTTTGCCCTTGGTTGGAAATGTTTTGCTTGGTCCTTAAAAAGTCAAGAAAATCACAAACTTTTTTTTTAAGCCAGAGGTGCCAGGGATTGAACCGAGAACCTTCTTCATGCAAAGCAGGTGTTCTGCCACTGGGCTGTGATTCCCTCCCTGAATGGGAAGGGAAGGTAGGCCTGGATATCTGAATCAAAACTGAATCGTGACAGAGCTTTCCAGTTGCTTAGTCTGAATGGTAGCACCGTTTTCTTCCAAAGCTGCCAGCATTAAATCCTGGGGAAAGAGTTGGCTACCTGGAACCCTGAACCAAAGCCCCCACACTGCCACTATTTGTTGCAGGTCTGACTGGTAATTAAGGAATGGCTAGACAATGACCAGGATGTGGGGGCCATTGCAATATGATAGTTGGGGCGTCAACTCCTGAGAGCCTTTTGCTTCCCCCCCCAAATATATTTTGGGAGGGGGCCAAGCCAAAAAACATGGGGTGGAGGAGGCCAAGTGCAGAGCCAAGCGAGGCACAGCTTCAGTGGCCGGCAGCTTCTCCTCTTGCTGCTGCTGTGGAGAGAAAGAAGGCGGGAAGCAGCCCCCAGCCAAGCATGGAGCTGAGTGCAGTGTGGCAGCAGGAGGAGGAGGAGGAGCTGCCAGCCATTGAAGCCACGCTGCTACTGCGTTTGGCTCCACCCCCTGGCTCTTCCCGGCTGCCCCCCCCCAAAAAAAACTGCCTTGCAAGTTGGCACCTCTGATGAGAGTCCATGCAAACAGACAGGATGTTTTTAGTAGTAGATGAATAATAGTTTGATGGGCTATCACCAAGAAAATGAGGAGTGGGTACAGAAGACAGGATGAGGTACGAATTGCACAAGCTATTCAGGGCATGCTTGATACCCAGAAGCAGGCCCAGAAGCCGATTCACCCAAAGGCCTGTGTTGCCTTAGCGCTCCCCCCCCCCCAGGTTGGTGCTTTATCCCAGCAGCATGTTTTTGACACAGTAATAGTGCATCAGTGGTGGATTTATTCTACTTTGTTGGTTGTTCTGTGATATTCTGTGATATTGTGCCCAACACTACCACATTACTGTTCTTCAGAGGGGCTGTAATACAACAAAAGCAGGACAGCCCCACCCACTCAACATCTGTGGTATGAAGAGCTATGGCATCTAGGCAACAAGATATGCACTCACTGGAAATGAAACGCTAAGGCTGCACCAAAACCTTTGCAGGGTTTTGCAAATAATATTGAAAGCAAAACCACGTGTGACTGCCCCAATAGCATTGTGATCACAAATCATCATGAATGCGTTAGAGGCTAAGGCCTCTATTGTATTGTAGGGGTCTACTTCGATGCCACAAGACTTCTCAGTAAACACACATAGGTCCAGGCTGCAACAGATTTATTGGAGAAAGGGCTTCAGGCTTAACAAGCAATCAACTTTGGCTAACTAGGTCCCAGTTTTATCCATGTTAAAGTGGGAAGTGTGAGTCATTCTACACCCAAAAAACCAAATAATTTTTTTTTGATGATAAAATACTTATTCAAGCCTTATTGAAGCTCAAAACATCCTGTGGAATCCTTTTGTATCCTCAGAAGGCCAAACAATCTTGGACTCCTCAAGTTGCCCACCTGTATTTGAAGTTACTTGTTTTTCTGTTCTTTTATATTGCCCTGGAAAAAGTATCCTAGTTCCCACTGAAATGTCAGAGCTTGATCAAGTGCAGCTTCCTGATGGGGAGGAAATTGCCAAAAGTGCTGGGTAATATATATTTTGCTTCCAGTTCCCCAGCTGAAGTTTATAAATGATGGAGAAGTGGAAAGTTGGCCTTTCTTTTCCTTCTGGCCTCTTTATTGTAGCAAAATAAGCTACTGGAAATAATTTCTCAAGCACTTTTTAAAAAGTGGCAAGAAGCATTAGCAGAAATCCTTACTCTGTGGTCTTCTTGGGTTAGTATCTGAAGTTTCTAGATCTTGGGATTTGATAAGTCTAGAGTTCTGAAGTATGATATCTGAAATCCAAAGTTTCTTCATCTTACTTGCTGTAGAAAATTGAGAATGTCTGTTTCTTCTTCAAGGTATGGGCCCCATTCATGTCACTGAAGCAAATTGCAAAGGGTTTGAAAAGTCTTTCACAGACTGCAAATTCAGCACCCAGTTAGGAAGTTGCACTCATGAAGAAGATGCTTCTGTAAGATGCAATGTTCCAGCTATGGGATTCCAAAACCAGGTAAGGAACAGAGCTGTCTTGTCTATAATGGGAGAACCATTTTTCTGCTTTTTTTTGGTATTTGTGATATTTTCCACAAGCAACAGTTCCCCTACACAAGCAAGTGTGAAAATAAACTCTGAGCTAACTCACAGGAGCTAATTCACAGGAATATTTCAGAAAACCGGAACCATTTTCCACAGCTACTGCAAAAGTTGGAAAGTTCAAACCATGCTGACCATTTTGAAATGTCACACTAAACCATAGTTGAACATGCCAAGAATGAACCTAGATGAGTTCAAGGGAAGGGCTTGCACGCTGCCCTGCCTGCCCCTCCTCTAGCATGGCTTTGGCTTCCAATTTCCCTTAACCACAGTTTAGCTTGCCGTAGGTATCCTAAGCTGTAGCTAATGTTTACTGTGGTTTTTTAAAAATAAAACAAACAAACTAGCTTCATAACCCATGATTCACAGGTTGTCAGTTTATGAAACAACTAGCTGCATTTAAGCACCAAAGGAAAAGAAAAGAGGTGGGAATGAGCAAACCTAAGGCTATCTGAAGTAGGTCTTTGTTATGCTAAACTAGGGTTTAGTATGACATCAAAACTTTCCCACTGTGGGTGTAATCCAAAATCCACAGTGCCACAACAGCTTTATTAGGATCAACCAAAATGTCAGAAAGTTTTGAGCAAACATTTTGAATTCTCCTGCACTTTTCATCACACAAGATGTTGAACAAAGTGGTAGCAGAAGGGAAGGAAAAACATGGCATGGTCTTTTTATCCTCAAGGCTACAGTACTTAAGCTGGAGTATAGAAGGAGTCATGTAACATTAACCTGAATGCAGAGCTCTCCATCCCTTGCCTGGTCATATCAAGATCCAGAGCTCAATAGTAGACAACAGTTGTGCATGCTGAAGATCTCAGGGTTGAAGTCTTTGTATCTCTAGTCAAAAGGAGGTCTCAAGGATGGTGCAGGAGAACTTCCAAGCAGATTGTGCCCATGGCTTTCTGATCAATGTTACTTCCTTCATCAGGTATGCCCAGTTCTATTTTTCCAGAAAAGGAAGTGCCGGAACTCACCATGGGAACCATCCTCATTCTTTTAGAACGGCAATGGTGCCCACCTGAGAGGTGCCAGAACTGAGTTCCAGTGAGTTCCGGCTGGAAAAAAACCTGGGTATGCCACATGTCATGCATTGATCATTAACTCCAAGAAAATAGGCTTCTTTCAATTTTAGAAGCACAAAATAGTACAGCCACAATCAAAATGTCCAGAAGAGTGCTGGAGGTTTTTACTCTGAGCTATTCTGGACCTAATGGTCAGGAATCCCTTTACCTTTATTCCCCTTCAATCTAGAATAATATTATTGGGATACAACTTGCTTGTTCAGTAGTATTGCTAAGGAAACACAAGGGATGTGCTTTGGGCACTTGGGAATGTCTTTGTGGATTTGTTGTTCTACCTGTATTGGAGAGATCATAGCAGCAGAGTTGTATGGGTCAAGGAGCTAAGGGCAACTCCAGTCTAGGCTGAAGCAAAGGGCAAAATCTATTACAGTCCTATGGTTCATGGTGCTAACATATTTGCAAATGGGCAGCCATTTGTATTTGTATGAGACTCGTTGTCACCCTCACAACATGTGTTTGTGTATTGCTAATGCTGTTCTGCAGAACAGATGAGACCTGGGGTTGGTTCAGAGCAGGAGTTGCCAACCTGTTGCTCAAGGTGGCTAAGATAGCTTCCAGTGGTATCCTTGGGCAGATGCCCAAGACTGTGGGTTTTCTTTTCTTTTTAAAAAATTAGTCTGTAGCCCTCCTAGAGGTCTAGAAATAAAGCTACGGGGCAACATGTGCAGGTTAAACAAAATTTGCTAACCTTCTAAGCAAATTTTGTGAAATGAAGAGTGGTGTGGCCACTCACATTCTGCTTGCAGGCTCCCCACTGACATCTGGCTTCCAACTAGGAGAAGAGGATGCTTGACTAGATGGCACTTGAGTCTGATGCAGTTGGGCACTTGATGTGCTGCATTGCAGTACTATATTGGCAAAATGGCAGCCACTTGAAGAAGCCATCATGTGAGCTGGATCCAGTGCTTGGCAGCATGGGCCCACAGATGGCTAGAGACCAATAATATGCATAGACTCTTTAGGTAGCTACTGTGTCCCCACCCCACCACAAGGTGATGCTTTAGACTACTTCTTAAAAGTGTTACTAATTATGTATTTAGTTTTAATGAGAATGAGAGAAGGTTTTGCTCAGCCCTTCACATTGAGGTCACCTTCAAATGTTGGCTCAAGATCTTGGCTGGCAGGCAGACCACTGAACTTGTGGGATTTGTATCCTGATCATTTGGCCAGACTCTACTTGTTCCATTCACTTTAACATCTGTGTTCTTTTAGACCCAGAGAGCAGAACATAGAGCAGCATGCTAGTCATTCTTCAAGATCTGTGCTTCATAAACACTCCTGTGCTTCTCACTGCTGGTAGCATTAAAACTCTCTCAAATATGCAACTTTAAATGACACTAAGGAAGCTTCCTTATACCAGACAATTGGAGCTGATCTGAAGCCCTTCTCTAACTTAAACATTTGTGCCCATCTCTGTGATACTTGGCACTAGAGATTCCTTTAGGCATAGATCACATCAACATCTGCTTCAGACCCTCAGCCAAAAAGGCACTGCAACTTCTGTAATGGACTGTACAAGGCTTTTCTTAAACCCAGGTCCCATGTCCTGGGGGAAGGGGGCAGACTCTGAGACCTGATCCTGAGGGGTGGCCAGTCTACAAGTCTGCTAAAGTCAAAAGTAACAGCAAAGTTCCCAGGCTTCATCTGCACAGCTACTGGCAAATTAACCACCGATCAATATGCAATTGCATTTGCATTAAGGGGGTGGGGGCCAGATGGGCAAGGAAGGCCTTTAAAAGCTGTTCCTATAATGAGTGATGTGGAGAAGTGGAAAGTTCAGCAATCAAAAAGTCAAGCAGCTCCCAATCATCTCAGCCCATAAACCCACCAATGAAGCATTAGAGCCAACTGTAAAAGGTTCAATTCATAGTTGTGGGTCCCAGAGGAGGCCTGAAGGTCGCTAAATCCAGCTAATCTCTAAGTGAATGGAGTGCCACTCTGGACACTTAAAGCTCTGACCACTGTTGAACTTGAGAATATTTTCACACATCCCAGCATAGTGACCTTGCCCATAGTTCTGCATAAATTATATCAACATTGGGCTTATCCAGACCTCCATTTGCCCTGCTGCTTAACCACTGAATTGGAACAAACAACAACTGGGCTTTCCCACAGATTGCATTTTGTTCCAATTTAGTTCTAAAGAGCTGGCTTTCCAGGAGAAAGCAGTGGCACAAAGCCAAAACTGCTCAGCCCTGTGCCTAGAAAGCACCAACCACGCAAAAAACCACTCAGCCTTGTGCTTTCTAGGAACAGGACAAACAGACGTGTGGATGAGCCCGTTGTGCAATTCAGCCATTAAAAACCGGGGGTCTTTGGATGATTATCTGGATGCTTGCAAATCAAGTAGAGACAGAACTGTGTTAGCTGTTAGAAATCACACAGGCCAGCCAGGGAGAAGCTACTGACTTTTAATAAGTTAATTTGCCTGGGACTGTTCTTGTTGCATTTCTCCTTTCCCCATTTTAGTGCTCTGTGTAGAATTGCCCTGTGCACACTTCCTTGGGAGTAAGCTGCATTGAACTCAGTGGGATTTACTTAGGAACATAAGAAGAGCCCTGAGATCAGACCAAAGGACAATCTAGCCCAGCATTGTGTTCTCACAAGGGCCAGCCAGACGCTGCTGGGAAGTCTGCAGGCCCTGAGCACAATGCTTTCCATTGCTAACAAAGTATTCAGAGGCCACCACCTCCGACACGGCAGGCGGTACAGAGCTGCTATGACTAAGGCTTGTCCACACTTCGGTTTGTCTTGTGCTTATTTAGAACTGGCATCAGATCAGCAGCTCTGGTCCGAAAGGTTTTCATATCTATCCCAGCGCAGAAACACAAAGAAACACTTTCTACCTCTGTGTTGGCACAAACAATTTGATTTGAGTTTCTAAGTAACAGGTTTCAACAGGAAACGAATTTTGCTCCCTTTGCTGTTTGCACAGGACCAGTTTTTTTTTGTTTGTTTTTTTGTGACAGGAGCTATCACTTTTTATTTTTCTTCTTTTATAATTTACAGATACGTTTGAGCGGTGGCCGCACGCCCTACGAAGGCCGGGTGGAAGTCCTGCGGGAGCTCAATGGCACACTCAAGTGGGGCACAGTCTGCAGTGACAAATGGGGCACGATAGAAGCCATGGTGGTCTGCCGCCAGCTGGGCCTTGGCTACGCTGCCCACGCCTTCCAGGTATCTTGATAACTCTTGGCTGGTTTCCTAGTGGGCCAATGGGAGAAGAGCAATATTACCTAGGATCCAATCTGAACACCAACCTGCTACATGGGAACCACTTATCATTTTTCATTATACTCGTTTGCCTTCTTTATCTGGCTGTCTCTATCTCTCTTTCAATGGCCCCATACTTCTGCATTATTCTCTCCTTCCTATCTTCCTTTCCTTTCTTTTAAAAAGTTAGGAAGAAAGACAAAATTGTGGCTGCGTCCCTGTTGCAGGGATGGGAAACTGTGGCCTCCCAAATCTTGTTGGGCTCCAGTTCCTACCAACCTCAGTCCATTTGGCCAATGGTTAGGGGTGATGGGAGCCCTAGTTCAAGAACCCGGAGGGCCTCAGGTTCCCCTTCCTTTGCTAGGGGCACACTCACCTTTTGGTCCACAGTGCACTGAGGTTTTCATATGCATGACGGGAACCACCTGGAGCTTCACATTGGCTGCAATGTGTACAAGCAGCACAGCTGTCAGTAGACCTTAACCTCAAAGACTCTCTTAATTCCCATAGCATGAGCTACAAGCAGCCTTAACTTCTGCTTTCAAGGAATGTTCCAGTCATACATCAGAGAATCGTAACCTCATTTGTATTAAAAGTTGACCAAACTAGGGAGGCCTAAAATTATTGGACCATGTGAGACTTGAAATGGGTCATGGAAACTGAACATTCATCTATACCCAAATAATCCAGTTCTTCTTTAAGAGCAACTTGTACCCATGGGGAGAAAGTAGTAATGTTGGTTTTAGGTCACGGCAGGAGAGTTACAATGTCTTTGTGAAATAAGCTATATGGTCTTACAGTATTCATTGAAAATTCTTGAAGTATTAAGACAAGCAACTGTGGTAGAAAGTGGACAGTATAATAGCTTTGCAGCAACAAGTAAAATGTAATACAGAAATGAAAGAACCCCAGGAGAAGGTTTAAGATGAAATCATGTCCAACCACACAAGAAGACCACCCATATTTTGGTGAGTGTTTTTGGTTGGGATGAGGAAGGTACCAAATCCACAGGTGGCTGCACAGAGCTAGTCCTATGCTTGTTAAGAGGACACACATGCCTTAATATCCACATTGCTTGAAGTCCTTTCCCTCCCGGGCCTCTGGCTTCAGTTTGCCTGTCATCAGCTGTCATGGAGCTTATTGATTAACCACATTGGCATCCCACCCTTCCTCCAAGGAGCTCAGGGAGTTACATAAATGGGGATTGTTCTATTTTACGGAGAGGTGTCAGCAGCTCTTCCCAAACCCAGGCCCCTCTTTTATGCTTTTATGCATTTTGAATGCTGTGACAAGGCCCTAATTTCCTGGGTCATTTAAGACTTAAATTCACAGTTATTGCTCATTACTTGATGCTGTACTCAAGCATTTTCCGCTCAAGGAAACATTGCTATTCTTCATCCACGCTTTGGGTTTCCTGCCAAGGGGGTAACTTGTGTTTCTCCTCTGCAGAGAGTTGTGCAAGCTGCAATTGCATTGGCCCCCTGACCTCAGGGGAACCTTCCACTTTAGCTGACCCAGAAAGTTCACAAGACCTGGTTCCTTTCTAGCTCATTGTTTTTCGCAATTCAGATCAAAGCTACTTTGAGGGGAAATGCATCAAAATGCAGCATTTCCTAAGAAAGGACAGGTTAGATGTTAGATTAGCAGTGAGAGTGCACTGGGGGCAGAATGAGCAGGGCTGCATCCACAGCCTTTGACATTGTTCAGACATTATGCAGAACGCTGCTGGGAAGTGAGGTCTTCTTAGATGAGGAATTCTGTTTTGCAACAGTACCCAAAAGTGGAGCTCCCTTTGGTGACCCCACCCCACCCCCAATGCGTTGCAAAAAAGCACCAACTGTTTCTGGGACATTTCCCCAGGAAATAAGCTGGTGCCAAAACACACCTTAATTGTCAAGGCTGGAGGAGGTGGCAGCAAGGGGAGCTAGCGCTACAGTCTACTGTGTGTTCCTCTCAAAACTGGAGCTGGAAGGCCTCACTTTAGAGATTTGGTTTATTTTCTTGTGTGGCTGCCAACTCCTAGTTCAAGAGTTGAGGGCAACTACATCCATGGAACACCATGCTTTCCGATCTCTCAGCTGTGTTGACATAAGCAGGGCCAGTGCTGTTTGATGTGGGGCATTTCCTGTGGCCGGGGCTACTGATACTTGCAAGAGAAAAGGCCCTTGTGTTCCTCCAGGCTGCACCCTTGATTGGAATATACAGCGACCCTTGTGTGTGGAACAGGGCGCACCCTATGTATATGTGTGTGCAGCCGGTCAAGGGGGCCGTTGGCAATGTAATTAACTAGACCGTGTGTTGCTGCAGAAGCGATGGTACGTACAGTTCATTCACCCTTCAGAAGCATATCCTTTTGTGATGTCCTCCCTGCCTTGGATCTTGCCCAAAGAGGACAATAGTGCTAATCTGAAGCACTTCTTGCATTTATACCACATGTTGCTGAAGCTAAGGAGCAGGGCACACATTTTGCATGTAAAAGGTCACAGTTTCAGTCTCCATCAACTACGAGAAGCAGGCAGCGCTGGGAGAGAATGCTGTTTGAAATTCCAGAGAGCTTCTGCCAGCCAGTGTAGACAATACTGAGCTTTATGGACTGATGGTCCGACTTGGTATAAGGCAGCTTCCTATGTAGTAAATACAGGAATGCGGGCTGCCAATCAGATAGAGAGAAAGCCAATTTCAGTCTCCTGTAAAAAGACCTTTAATTCTCATGGCTGAAAGTGTGAGGACATGCATAATGTCTTAACAGCAGTCATGAGGGGTCCTTTACCAGAGACTTCACAATGTGTCTTTTGCTTGCCAGCGAGTTCAGTGCTGACTTAGCTGTCAGACTTCACACACACACACACACCTCTCCTGCATGCTCAGCAGGGGTGCCATTTAGGGGGAGACGAGGGGCCAAGGGCCCCCAAAAAAATTTCAAGGAGGGGGCTGAGCCCCCTCAGTATTCCATGGTGATGTGCATGCACCACGCAACACGCTTACATCACTCATGCACACACTTCCCTACATGCTCATGTCACATGTCAAGTCATGTGGGGGGGGCTCATCGGCACGTCCCACGATGTGCGTGCGACACATCAGCATGCTGTGTGGTGTGCGTGTTCCGGCCCCCTCAATCGCAAGGGCAAGCCAGTGTGCCTGATGCCCAATAAGATGGTCACATACGTGATTTCTCAAGCATTAGAAACCATTAAGTTAAAAGTAAATCTGAGCCACTCAGAAACATTTCAGTTCAAAAATACCTTAAACCAAACAGGAGGGTTTTGTTTTTTTTTAAAAAAAACAACAAAATAATGTTAAGAACTAAATGAGGTGTTTGTGTGGAACTAAATAAAAAGGAAGGTATGCTAGCAAGATTTTTTTTTAAAATAATAATAATAATAATAATAATAATAATAATAATAATAATAATAATAATGTTTTAAAAACTGCTCCAGGAATTGGAGTGTTAGCGATCTCACAGGTGCTAGACAATAGGCTCCATTCACAATTGGCTTCTCATAGAATCTCAGAGTTGGACGAGACCCCGAGGGTCATCTAGTCCAGCCCCCTGAAATGCAGGATTCTCAGCTAAAGCATCAATGACATCCCTTCTTCCAAAACCAAACTACACTGAAAACCTCACTCCCAGTCCAAAAAAAAAGTATGTTAGTATTGCATAATGGGCGCTTTCAAAACAGTCCCATTGCTATTGATGTGGTGTTCATCTTTTCAGGGTCTTATTGTAACTTTCAGTAATTTCCAATACTTTACAAACTATCTCCATGGTATTAGTTATAAAAGCGCATCTTGGCTACAGAGTGAGCTTTCTGTTGTCCTTCCAAACACACAGATGTTGCCAGGGAGGCCTCATTTATATAACAGGCAACAATATTATTGTGGCAGCACTTCTGACTCAAAACAGATCAAGCTGATAAATTAATAGATGATTTGTGGTGTTCAGGGTGGAGTTGGGAATTCAAAGCTTGGCTGCCCAATTGCTATAGCAAGTCCAGAATCATTGCATTCGCAATGAATTGCGTCATCAGACCACCAGATGAGGAGGAGGGGAGGCTAGGATGGTTGGAGTAACCTTCAAGAACAGTCTGTTGTATTTCCCAACCTTCCAGCTCATTTGATAGACCAAGCCAGTCCCCAGCAAAGGATGCTTGCTATTTATTTATTACAATTGCCTTTCAGGGTATAGGGTTATAGCCAGTGTTACTTATACTCAGAGAAGACCCATTGAAATTAATGGGCATTGCTTACTTAGTCCTATTAATTGTAATGTGTCTACTCTGTGTAGAACATAGTTTGAGATAACCCTTGGATCTTACCAAAGTGGCTTACAAGTCACATTTAGTCATATATTTTAAAAACACAATAAACAATATTAACAAGTCGTCAGCATCCTTCCTATGTGGCAGTCGATGGTAGATTACCCTTTGCAGCCGGAGGGGGTCTGCTTGAGGAATCCATTCTTTGAGAATTCCAGAACTAATTTAATGGGCTAATCTGCAGCACTTAGAGTGGCATGCAGTTGGAATGCAGTTATTCTTGGGAATGTTGTGATACAGTACTTCACTTAACAAAAATGTAACAAAATGCATATGAAAAAATAAATATATTTAGGAATTTATATTTTGTGAGGCAATAGTAGGCAACAGTCAACTATCATTTCCCACTGACACAAGGGTTTCATTTTACACAATGGAACTTCTCACCTCCAGCCCCTGTGTCCCCCCAGCCCTCAGGAGCAGATTTGGGAAAGGTGTGTGGCATACATGGGGAGAAGCGAGGGGGAACGTTCCATTGCACAAGAGAAAATCCCTGCACCAATGGGATGTATTACTTGGCTCTTGTTCTTTAAATACGACTTCGTGTGCAGAATTATTATTATTTTAATCATGGATTACTGTGGAAACATAATATAGTGGACTTTGGAATGAGCACATGCAAAACTGACATGGACCAGTAACAGACTTCCATCCATCCCTACCAAGACCATTTTGCTTCTTCAGCTCTGAAGCAACCCTTTCACTCATACTGATACAGTTCCAGCATTAGCATCTTCACACTAGGTCTCTCATGCAGATGTACTGACATATTAAGAATGGTGCTACATTGCTGGCTGGCCAGTCCTTGATTCGACTGCTTGCTGGTTCATAGCTAGATGAACTACTCACTACTACACATACTACACAGAAGGGAGCTCATTGGGCCTTGCTTAGAGGAGACCTGCTGAAATCTATGGCCGTGAGTAATTTTTAAGTCCATTAATTTCAATGGGACCTGCCTTGGATACAATCTATGATTAGAAAATAGTTGATGATATCTCTGTTTGAATGAGACACTCATCAGAGTTTAGGGAAGGTTGCACATGCAGAGCTAAGGGGAGACTGCAAATGGAAGTTGGTAGTTTGGGAGAAAAGGCAGAGAAAGTTGAAAGTTAGCTGGAAAAGGCCTCTGCGTCTGATATCAGGTAGCAGATCTGCTGCCTTGCAGGAGGGCCTCCGGTTTGCCTCTGCTTTTACTCTTATATTCAGTGGGGGTTTTCTGGGGGACGCAGGAGTATGCATGCCATCTTGTGAATCTAAGTTTGGCCTCATTGAGGGGCAGTATTTCAATATGAGTAGGAAAATGAGAATACCCCTAAACATTTTTTTAGAAAAAAAGCACTGCTTAGATTTCTAAATCTGAATTGTGCATTGCTTTGTAACAATTTGTTGGGTCTCTGGACTGCACTGAAGATTGATGATGATTTGTAAATAAGGTAAGGTTACGCCTGATTTGGTGCATCAAATGTTAACAGGAGCTTAGTATATTATCACTTTGTACATAGATTTGGCTGGCTGTCAGCTGCAGACCCTTGCCTTCCCTCGCCTAAGCTGCTGTAATGCCACTGATCCCATTCTGACTGCCATGGAGGAAGGGCCAGTCATGGAATGGTGACTAGATGGGCAGTTACTGAGTGGGAAGTGAAAGATTGGGCTTGCTTGGCAGAAATAAAAATTCATCAGAATGGCAGGAGTGTCTCTTTGAATGGTAAAACACAAAGGTTTGGTGTGGGGGCTGAGGGCCAGGGAACCAGAGGGTTTGGCAGAGTTGAATTTCACACAGTGATCTGAAATAACTAGCAGAAAAAGAGAGCAAGGAATATTCTTGCCTCTATTAAGTGGGCATAGATATTTTCTAAAAGCTTTCCATACCATGGCTTTGTTCCTCCTTTTTTTGCAGTAGTGGTCAGTCCTGTACTTTAGGGCAGGGCAGCTACTTGAGGAAAAAGCCACTCGCGCATCAGCCCATCTGCTGTGCTTGGCTCCTGGTTAGCTCAATGGGAGAAAAAGGCACGACAAGCCGCTTGACTTGCTGTTTACTGAGCTGTTGCCTGTTTTCCAGGACATGTGCCAGGTCTCCATTACTCAGTGAGTTCAAGGAGGTGGCATTTTAATTTGTTCATAATTCAGTTAATTCTTCTTGGGCAAACGTCAGCCGTCTGGAATCCAGCTGCTAAATAGATGCTTCCTGGATCCAAGTATCAGATAGTAGCAAAAAAACTTGAGAGCTTAATTAGGGGTTGCAAGAGACAATGAATGGTAGCAGATTTCCCCCCCCCCAAATAATGTTTGGGTAAAGAATGTGTGATGACTGACACAGCATTTTGCTGTGTTGTTCCCCCTACTATGCCAGGACAATGACAGCATGCATTGAGTTTACAGTGGTACCTCGGGTTACATACGCTTCAGGTTACATACGCTTCAGGTTACAGACTCCGCTAACCCAGAAATAGTGCTCCAGGTTAAGAACTTTGCTTCAGGATGAGAACAGGAATCGTGCTCCAGAGGCGCGGCGGCAGCAGGAGGCCCCATTAGCTAAAGTGGTGCTTCAGGTTAACAACAGTTTCAGGTTAAGTACAGACCTCTGGAACGAATTAAGTACTTAACCCGAGGTACCACTTTACGTAGAAATTGTAAGAGGAAAGAGTACAGCTCTGTAACTTTCACAGCTGTGAGCTGCGGAGCCTTAATTTCAAAACTTTATGGGACTGCATATACACTATGACTTCCCCCAAAGAATCCTGGGAAGTGTAGTTTGTTAACGGTGCTAGCAATTGTAGCTGTGTGAAGAGTAAGCTACAGTTCCTGGAATGCACTAGAGGAAGTCATGTGCTTTATCTCGGCTTCAGCTGAGATGTGGTGGTGATCATAGTGGCCTCTTATAAGGGTTACAGATAGGTAGCTGTGTTGGTCTGCCATAGTCAAAACAAAAAATTCCTTCCAGTAGCACCTTAAAGACCAACTAAGTTAGTTCTTGGTATGAGCTTTCGTGTGCATGCACACGTGTATCTGAAGAAGTGTGCATGCACATGAAAGCTCATACCAAGAACTAACTTAGTTGGTCTTTAAGGTGCTACTGGAAGGAATTTTTTTGTCTTATAAGGGTGTTGTAGATGTGACAGGTGTAGCACTTTGCATTCAAGAAATGCAGTAAATAATAGCAATAATCAATAGGAACAAAGCAATAGCTACAAAAACCACAAATATATTCAGACTGAGGGTGGATCTACACACAGAAGAAAAGTCATAAATTAAATTGTTAGAACAAAAGAATAAAAACACTATGTAAAATCGCAGAGAAAGGTTTTGTGCTCTACTGCACCATCTGGTGCTGCATGTTTATAATGCGTTCAAAATGCTGTGGGGGTTTTTTACTAATGTAGCTGAGTCCTGACACTGCCTGTGTGAAGTTATAAGGCAGATTAATGCAACAGGTGATTCATAAACTTTTTAGAAAAAACAAACTTGATTTAGATTAGTAGGGAGGGACTCATACACTGATTAGTAGTTACAAGATAGCTTTTAAAATTTTCTTAATACAAAGGCCCATCTAGGCCCGCACCCTGCTTACACAGTAGCTGACCAGATGCCTGTGAGAAGCCTGCAAGCGGAACCTGAGTGCAGCAGCACCCTGTCTCCCTGCGATGCCCAGCACCTTCTGCCTCTGACAGTGACACTAGCTATTGTAGCCAGTAGCCATTGGTAGCTCATCCTCCGCGCGTTTGCTTGATCCTCTGCTGGCCATCACTGCCTCCTGCGGGAGAGAGTTCTTGAAGGGCTCCTCACGGACCCCTGAGGGTGCTTCCACTCTGCCATTGATTGTGTATTCGGTGCTAATCGTGTCTGCAAGTTCTGTGCAGCATCAAAATGTCATCACTTTTTGCTTTCCCATTTAATTCAGATTTGCCAGTCCTGGTGAAATCTGGTAAGTAAAACAGAAGTAAAACCCAACAGAAACAGGAAATGTGGGTGAAGTGTGGGCATGGGTGTGTGGGGTGACATTTTGCTGAGAAGAGCATCATGTGGAGGTGTTGTGGCCTGAGGAGTCGGGCCAGGTGGCCCCAGTTTCATTTGCACTGATAAGCTTGGATATTGAAGCCACTCTTCCTATGGGGGACCAGTACCTTATTTTCTCTCTCTTTTAGTTAGTAAAAGCACAGGAGTCATGCTGTACATTAGCATCAGGAGAAGACGCAGTTTAGGGATTTTGTTGCTGCAACCTCCAGGACTTTCAGAATCCTTGATGGGGAGCCTCTTAATCTTCAAAAAGAAAAATGAGAAATTGTCTGAAGCTGCCTTCAGCATTTTCAAGTGTTCCATGCAAAGTAGGCTGCTGGGTCTTGGGAGCCTCAGAAATGACAAATCTCATATTTCCCTGAACTTGCAATTATTATTTTTTATTGTAAAGCATACATTGTTCTTTTTTTTTAATTTAGCATTAAATTCTGCTTCCGTTGCTATGTTTTCTGCTAGGAAACCTGGTACTGGTATGGAGAAACGAGCACCAGTGATGTTCTCATGAGTGGGACAAAGTGTTCTGGGACAGAGATGGCCCTGTCACACTGTCGCCACGATACCCACGTATTCTGCCCCAGAGGAGGTGGGCGCTTTGCAGCTGGTGTTTCCTGCACAGAAAGTGAGTTGTGAAACTTCCTTTTCTAGGTACCAGAAAGACAAACCTCCCATTTATATTTTTTGCCCTGGATCTTTGTTTTGTTTTGTTGTTTTGTTTTGTGACAGCTGCCATTATAAATGAGATTTGCCTTGTATTGGTGAATTTTTAAAACTCTGTTTTAAAGATCTGTATCTGAGTCACTCAGGGCTCTCTCTGCTTCAAATTATTATTTTGAGTTCTGAGCATCTCTGCATAAAGGGAAGGTGTCTCTTCCCCCATTCACTACTACAAGGGATCTAAAATCCACAACTTTTTCCTCTTGGCCAAAATGGATGGAATTTCTAGGCACAGGAGCTTCTCCAGAGTAAATTGTGTCTGCCAAACTGAAGACAAATAGGTCCAGCAAATGGGGGTGGGGGGGGGCATAAAAGGGATTCACTTTCCTCCATAATCCCTGCTGGTTTTATCTCTTTCTCACTGTGCTATAATTAAAAGGTGTCTGAGTGGTATGTAGTTTTGCTTGTCTTTCTGGTGATTGTGTTCTCTAATAGGCTTTTCACTTTAAAGCTTACAAGGCAGTCCCATAAAGGCCTCCCCTTAGGGCTTTGCAGATCTCTAGTAGGCCATACAATGGTAAGCTGCCCAAGAACTCTGTGTGTGCAGTTATAAAGAGATCGTGGGGTTTTTGTTGTTGTTAGAGCAACATGGGATTTTTAAAATGAAGCTTTTAACTTTTTTTTAAAAAGAAATAATCTGATGTTGTGCTTTAACAAAAAATAATCCAGAACACTTCAATGCTCTTCAATATTTTTGACCACCTCACTAAGCCCATGGTTGTAAGAAGCATAGTGATATATAGGAAAACATAGCTGTGCAGTACGGAAAAACACAGCTAATGCAACATGGAGGGTGCTGGCATCATATTTGGCCTGAAAAGTCTGTATGTTGGGGCTAAGACTCCCCTTTCTTTTCTGGCCTCCAGCTGCAGCTGACCTTGTCCTCAATGCCAAGGAAGTGGAATACACATCCTACCTGGAAGACCGTCCCATGTTCATGCTGCAATGTGCCCTGGAAGAGAACTGCCTGGCCTCCTCCGCTGTCAACACCTCCATTTCCACTGGCTACAGGAGGCTCTTGCGTTTCTCATCCCAGATCCACAACAACGGACAGGCTGACTTCCGCCCCAAAAGTGGACGCCATTCCTGGATTTGGCACGACTGTCACAGGCAAGACTTTGCTCTTCACCAGCACCGTTGCGGATTTACCCAGTAGAAAAAAACTTGGGGTGGTCAGAGTTCTGGCCTCAGCAGATTTGATAAAAGGCAGATTAAGATCCATGTGAAATGTAGGGCAGCCCTGTGGATAAAACGCTGGTTGTGAACTTAGTGTTCGGGTTCAATGCCAGCAGTAAGTGAGCTAGGTTCAGTATCATTTCTGTATATCTTTTTAGGCCCCACTAGGCCTAATTGGGTAATTGAGGCATCCTCTACATCCCCTGAAATGACATAGGCCAGGAGTGGCATGGAGGAAGCAGTTACAGATAGGTAGCCGTGTTGGTCTGCCATAGTCAAAACAAAAAAAATTCCTTCCAGTAGCACCTTAAAGACCAACTAAGTTAGTTCTTGGTATGAGCTTTCGTGTGCATGCACACTTCTTCAGATAGTGTGCATCTGAAGAAGTGTGCATGCACACGAAAGCTCATACCAAGAACTAACTTAGTTGGTCTTTAAGGTGCTACTGGATGGAGGAAGCAGTCACTCTGGTCACAGGGATTTCCCAAGGCTGCTCTAGGGAAGTGCCTTCCGGTGAACTACCACCCACGGAGCAGCACCATCACTGCAAAATCTGTTTTGGGGGCCATTTTGATGTTCCCACAATGCCCTGGCATAGCATTGTTCTAGTGCATCCTAGGAACGTCAAAATGGTGGCTTCCAAAACAAAACGCTCACTGATGGTGCTTGATAAACCTGAGCCTGTGGACATGGGCAAGTGGGAGGGCCTATTGCAGGACAGGTGTTGGCAAAATGGGCCTTGTTGGGACCCCTGGTGGGTGCCTGAGGTGCCATGTGCCGCTGCTGGCACTGGATAGACCAGACACCACCCAGTTGATCCTTACAAGAACTCTGTGAGGTAGGTTAGGCTGAGAGACAACAGCTGGCCCAAGGCTAGAGTTAGGTTAGCACAATGTGCTGTGTGGTTTAGTGGGTATTTGAACCTAGTGCTCTGGGATCCAGTTCTGTGATCCATGCCCCCACTGGCTCATTATCCCCACTCTAAATATGCCTAAAAAGCGGACCAGGGATAAAATTCAAGTCTTCTTCACAGACATTCATTCATTCCTTTCAAAGCATGATGTACAGTCTTAAAAAAAAACCAAATAATATATGTTTTGAATCCCAGTCTTTCATCCATTAAGTTCAGAGCAGGCCCAGCACTTGCATGAGTCTATACAGAGCTAATACTCTCCTCTTGCTGCAATGGGAAGCTTTGCCTTCGGCAGGGAAGCTTCCACAGGAAAAGTTCATTGTGGACTCACTGCTGCTCAGGCATGTAGGTTGGCTGCAGCTTCCACACAACATCATCCTTGTCAAAAGGCCACCCCATATTTTTTGCCCATTTAATCCAAAATCAACACTTTTGTTTGTTTTTATGTACATTATTTTCTGCAGAAACAGTAAATCTGAATAAAGTGGGAAAGTAATGCAGGGCAGCATTTTGATGGAAGTGGCTTTCTCTGGATACTATGGGAAACTTGTATGTGTGAGCAGCCTTGGCTGAGCTTTAAACCCCACGCGGAAGCACCCCCTATCTCTGGAGCACCAAATCAGCCAGTGCACTTGTGCCTTAAAACAATACAATAACCCTTTAGAAATCTGTTGAGGTGACTCTCAAGAAGTTAATATTCCCAGTTTATACTCCCTTACCTAGTATATTACATTACTCCATATTCATCAACAAAGATATGCAAGGTTGTAGCCAGTGCTAGTCCTACTCAGAGTAGATCCATTGAAGTTAATGGACATGACTAACTTAGGTTTATAGATTTTAGCTGGATACAACTGGTAATGTGGTATCTAATGTAGCACTAAATTGGGGTCCCATAAACACAAAGATTACTGTTAATACAATTGGACCCCCCTTTTCCCTGTGCAACCCCTAAGTATGTTCTAGGGGTTCCTCCACCCCTCTGAAGCCGTTCTGGGGAGTGCTGGGCATGCGTGGAAGGGGGGAGGGAGTCCTGTTATGCTAGCAGGATTCTTTGGGCTGACGGGGTGAGTTTCTTGAATTATGTGGGCGTTCATCATTTCAGGAGGGGCCCCATTTCCCATCTAGCGCAGGTCTGAATAACTTGTGATTCACCAAACCAAATTCAGCAAGCATTATGGGGCCCACCACCTCCTTGACAGACCTCATCCTCCCCATTTTTGCAGCACTCAGTCAGCTGCAAACACATAACAGTTATCGGCCTCTGGTGGCTGTTGGGCCACGTCTACCGGGGTGGGTCATGAGTTCTACAGGCCTCTTTCTGCTTAATCCCAGAGCCCACCAGAAAAAGAAAAAGAGGAGTCCCACCTCAGCACGCTGACGCTCTGGCATTTCCAAACAAGCTCAAGTTAAGTGAGGCAGCTGTAGCCCATCCATGTGTTTAAGCCAGTCTCTGTTTGCACTAAGGAATACAGACTCAATTCCTCTTCAGTATTTCCAGTCTGTAAACACCATAATATAAACAACTATCTGAATGAGCAGACATATTTTAGCAACGGAGTCAGACCTGAGGTTTAAAGCTTTTTATTTCTTTTTCTTTTTTGCACTGGAAATACTTTGAGCATCCAACCTCAATGTAAATAGTTTGGACATCTCAATTTTTTCTTCCTCTCCCTGACCATCTCAGCCTGTTCCTGAGCATTTTTGTCCAGGATACAAAACCAGGGAGGCTGGGAGGGCTACTTAACAGGCAGGTAAAAGGAAACCAAAGAACATCTGGCAGTGATTCCAGGGCAATTAAAATTTCCCTTTATGCCCCCCTCCCCTTATGTCAACATATTTAAATAGAATAAACACGATGGGTGTACTAGGGGCTGCTACCTGATATTGAATATCAGCTGTTTAATATTAAGCCATGGTTTATTTTTACAAGTGAAAAAGAGCAAGTGAGCTCCACTTTTCAGTTGCTTGGCTTCCCTTAAACTGTGATGTGTCCATTAGAGGAGCTTGGTTTCCAAATGGGGCAAATCTCAATGTTCATCTAGACTCAAGCATCGCCTGAGTGTAGGGCTTAACTCACGGATATTGGTGTTAGGTGCTTTGAAGGCAAAAAACAGGGAACAGTGGCTCTTTGAGAGACGCTATGGCTCTCCCTTAGCATCCTCTCCACAGGTTTCTAACTAGCTAGCTCCGTAGGTGCTAATAGTCTCAAGCCCAAGTCCATGATAGCCACCCAGTAATTGGTCAAGGGTTTCACGTTTGTGCTTTTTGGAGAGGGCTCATAGCTCCAGTGGTGTCTGGTGCTCATTGGCACTGCTGGGGTGGGAGGCAGAGGCAGTGATGGAGACAGAGCCAACTTGCTCCTGCTGCTCAGTTCTACAGGGGCAGCCGTGAGACTAAAGAGAAGGAAGCTGAGTGGCAGAGCTGCACCCTGAACTGGTTGTCAGTAAGAAGGCAGGCAGGTGAGGGTTGGCTGGTGGGGCAGTGCCCCTTTCACCCTCTTCACTCAAAGACCACATGGTTCATATGAAGATGTTAGATGATGTTGCATCAAGCTACTTTTGTTTCACACTGCCCACTGCATTTTTCCTGTCACTTTCCTTTTTGCAGAAAGTTGGGGGGGGGGGAGTTTGTTGCGCAAGAGTGCCAAATCAACTTTAATCATGTAATTTTAATTTGTCAGTATGTTATGGAAACCCAGCCCAAAATAGAAATATTCTGAAAGCACCCAGCAAAAATATAACTGATATGCTGAGTGCTTCTAGTGAGGTTCTGTGGACCTCTGACAATACAATCTGCCCCATAGCAGAGTGCAGATTATTTTTTGGCATTTTGTTATTTGGAATAACTGCAACTTGCTCTTGTGAAGAAACTTAACACGCTTGTCAACTGTTTTACTACCACATGGGTTGAGCAGCCCAGTTTTGAGCCTGAGCAGAGTTGGACCTCTTTGCTTCAGGTGCTTTGGCTTACCATACACTCAGCTAGAATATTGCCAATCCTTGAGGACAAAATGAGGGGGAATTTCCCCTATGAGGAAAGCTTTCAGCAGTTGGGGCATTTTGGTTTAGAAACAAGGCGAGTCTCAACTTTTGCTTGGCACGGAGAAAGTGGGGTGAGGAGTTTTCCTCCCTCTCTCACAATACTAGGACTCAGGGACATCAGATGAAACTGAATGTTGGAAGATTCAGGATGGACTAAAGAAAGTACTTCTTTATACAGGGCAGAATTAAATGATGAGATTTGTTGCCCCAGCAGGTAGCGATGACCACCCATTGGATTAGACAAATTCATGGTGGTTACTAGCCATCACGGCTATGTTTTTGTCTCCATGGTCAGAGACGGTATCCATCTTAATAACAGTTGCAGGAGAGATTGCTCTGGCGCTTGCATCCTGCTTTGGGGCTTCCCAGAGGCAGCTGCTTGGCCCTTGTGAGAAGAGGTGGACCTCTGCCCTGATCCAGCAGGCTCTTCTTATGTCACTTGGCTTGATACAATACAATAATCTTTATTGTCATTGTCCCATACAGAACAACGAAATTGAAAAAATCTACATCAGACATTCAAAAACCCACAAGCCCGCTATCCCAGCCTAGTTAGCCCCTAAAAACTCCGATACCCCATAATTGAATACAATAGACTCACATAAAGACTACCTTACACTGTGTTTAAAACCAAAGTCGCATTTGGGTAGAAACTGTTTCTCAGGCGGCTAGTCCCAGTCTTTATAACCCTGTACCTTCTTCCAGAAGGCAGAAGCTGAAAGAGATCATTTCCAAGGTGCGCACTATCCTGCACTATCTCTGCAGCTTTCTTATGGCACCTGGAAGCATAGATTTGATCCAAGGTGGGAAGAGTGCACCCAATTATTCTCTCCGCAGTCTTTACAACCCTGGACAGCATTGTTTTTTCCCTAACTGTGCAGCTCCCAAACCACACACACAGACCATAAGTTAATAGACCATAAGTTGTTTCCTGCTTGGCAAGGGGTTGGACTCGATGGCCCTTGTGGTCTATTCCAACTCTGATTCTATGATTCTAATACACGTTTGTGCAATGCGCTATGGCACATGGACTCAAATGTGCTGTTGTCTGGGTCAGAGTAACATGATTCCCAGATTAAATGGCTGCATATGGTGTTAATTTCCTGCTTCTATACTAATGTTATAAGGCTAAATTTTTGTTACAAAATTCCCACATTTAGGGTACATTCTGATCTGGCCAGTGAGCATTGTCTGAAAAATGCCTGCTAATAACTTGGTTAAGGAAAGGATCACATGTCCTCTAGGGAGTTAGAGCTATGCTTCTGGTTCCACATCATCAGTCCTACTGGAAAACAGCATTTCCTCCTCCCAGTGAATAAAGGTGTTGACTTGCTTTGGCTGTAGCATTGCATATGCTATATGATGTTTTGATATGTGTTAGTCTACAGCCCACGAGGCAGGAAGATCAAGGGGTGAAGCTGCTTCCCAAAATAAGAGGAACTACACCCCAGGTGGCGCTTTCAATAAATCTGGGCAGCATTGCTGTAGAAGTATGGAACCTGTCCTTAATCAAAATGTTTGCTTTCTTCTGCTCATGCAGGCATTACCACAGCATGGAAGTGTTCACGCATTATGATCTGCTGGACCTCAATGGGACAAAGGTAGCGGAAGGTCACAAGGCCAGCTTCTGCTTGGAAGACAGCGAATGCCTAGACGGTACATACATTCCTAATATACTCATGAAATACACTCCAATGTAAAATAACCCTTTCTGCTCTCATGTCTACTGGGGGTCTACTAAAGATGGGTGGAGAAATGTGTGCAATTCACGTTTAAGAATTCGTGATTCTCAAAACAGAATACGTAAAAAATGAAATCTAACAATCCTTCAAAATTTGCACTTCTTCAAATGATACAGTGCCGGTCTACAGGAGCAACAAAAAGTTTATTATTTATTTCATAAAATTTGCTTGATGGGGGAGAGAACCACCTCAAAGCTGTTTACAAGAGTCATACAAAACCGTGTATATTGATAAAAGGTTTGGCCCCCAAAGCAAACATTCCTGAACACAAGGTGTGAAAATGCATATAGTTAGGGTGAAATTGCTTGTGAAAGATTGTATATCATGAGAACACATATGCAAAGGTGTGAGGATTTTTGTGTCAGCTTGTGAACTGATGTGAATTCTTGGCTGTCTTGACCTGGCTGTGTTGCGGTCCTCGGTCTGTTGCAAGTGGATGGCAATATTCATTCACAATTGGGCCAAGTGCGGTGAGGCAGAGACTGGGTGGAAAGGGGAGTTCTGCTCCAGAGGCCCCTAAAGCTCTGCTTTCAGCATGGTTGGTGCCCCAGTCATCTCTATGCTGCTCAGGGGGCAGATGCGTGAGATGCGCACATGGATTGTACATCCCCACTTGGAACCACTTGCTTGACACTTTCATCAGAGCACTAGAGCTGGAGGGGAGGCATAACAGCCCCTGGCAAGACTGGGGAAAGGAGAGAAAATAGCCGCTGCCAACTAACCTGGGAGGTGGGGCTGTAATTAAGTATCCGGAGCATCACAACAAGGTTGGGCTTTCAAGTTCTACAGCCCAAACACTTACCTGAAGCCAGGACTTCCTAAAGGGCCTCTTGGCACCACGCTGCTGCTGACGTTTTTTCCACATGTGCTTCCTTTCCCCCTTTAGGTTTCCAGAAGCAATATGAATGCGCCAATTTTGGGGAGCAAGGGATCACGGTTGGCTGCTGGGATGTGTACCGGCATGACATTGACTGCCAGTGGATTGACATTACAGATCTTGTGCCAGGAGAATACTTCTTCCGGGTAGGCTGGGATTCTTCAGATTCTGGAGTGCTATCAGTCGCTAAGAGCCCATTCATGCCATTACCAAAACCAAGTGGCAATAAACCTTTTAGGTGGTTAGTAGCATTCAGGTTGCAGGTGGTGGCGAGGAGTAAAGGTAAAGGGACCCCTGACCATTAGGTCCAGTCGTGACCGATTCTGGGGTTGTGGCGCTCATCTCACTTTATTGGCCGAGGGAACCGGCATACAGCTTCCAGGCGAGGAGTACTGCATGTTTAAATGCCAAACAAAAGGGGCCAGTTAAGAATGGTGTTTCAGCTCTAGGACAGGGTGGCTGACTTAGGACCAGCAGATGTTGTTGGACTACAGTGCTTGCCATTCTTGGCTACTAGCCATGCTGGTTGGGGCCGAGGAGCTGGAGTCCAGCAGCGGCTTGAGGGCCACACCAGTTCCTGTCCCTGATTTAGGAATCCTATAGATATTTTGCAACTTGTGAACTGGCCATTAGGCAACCTACAAAACCATAATATGCATTTCTCAAGATACTTCTTCAGAGTTAATTGCAAATAGAAGGCAAAGGACAACTTGAAAAAGTTTTTTAAATCCTGCCTGTGGTCACATTAAATATCAATGTCTATTCATAAATACTTGATATGTTTGGTGTAAGTATCAGCCTTGCTTTGCAGCATAGAAGGACATTTTATGCTATTCATTTTGTTTTATGCTTTTATTATTATTTCATTGTTTTTGTACTCCTCTTGCCTTCATGGCTGTTCTTAGGATTTTTATTTTTATAAGTAACAAGGTCTTTGAAAAATGATAATGAAACCACAATAAAATAATCCAGTTTTTAAAAAATTCTGTGGGGTATAAATATTTACTTGGGTTTAACCCGCCCAATTGGTGAACAATTGTGTCTGAAGTTGTGTAGAATGAGTAGCAAATAATTTCAGGGAAACAGATTGTTTTTATTCATTTAAGCTGTTAATATGTGATGTTAAGTTCTCAAAAAGGATGGAAAAGTTCAGACACAAAGAAACAGGATGTGAGAGAGTGCAGAGAACTGTGGTCTCCAAAATGAGTCATACTTTGAGTAGACCTATTGAATTGCATATTCCACACCTCCGCAAACAGGGTAGTTTGAATACATGCAGCCCCAGTTCCTGAATCAGAAACACAATTGAAGCACCTTGGTTGCACAAAGAAATTCCCCCACTTCTGGATCAGGATCTATGTCTTAGACAAGATGGCCCTAAGATCCCTGTGTCTGTCCTTTCCCAGATCATTGTCAACCCAAACAAAGAAGTGGCAGAGTCCGATTATTCCAATAACGTCATGAAGTGCAAGTGCAAGTACGAACTTCACCGGGTCTGGATGTACAACTGCCATATAGGTAAGTTCATTATTGAAGAAAAAGAGAGAAGTCTAGTGGCAGAGGTGAGCTTTGCTTGATGCGGTGGTGATTCCGCGGTTTGTGTAAAGCAAAGGGGATCTGTGGCCTTGCAGGTGTTGCTGTTCTGTCACCCCTGACCAGGCAGGTTCGCGGGAGCTGGAGTCTAACAACAACTGGAAGGGCACAGGTTGCCCACACTGGAGTGTACACATCAGAGTGTACAAGGATTCCTTCCTTTCTGCCCCCCCACCCCCATTTCATTACTCATTTGTTAGAATGACATTTGTTTAGTTAATGGGCACTAGTTTATTCACTTCTGTAACTCCCATTCATTTTTCTCTTGTGATGGATGTCAATGTGAGACTTGGCCTGTAACACTGTCTGTTGCTTGGGAGTTTTCCACCCAGTTGGCGTGACATTTCTAGGCATCCTACCACTCTTTCAATACATTGGACCAACCAAATTTCAGATAAAATCTACATTTCATAGGCAGTTTTAAAATACAGACAACTCCCCATTTAGATTGCTTTCTATGAGGAGACACGACTGTTCTTCATATGCTTGTCGCTTCTGTGTTTTCCATCCAGAACTGGCACAAAATATTTAGTTATTCTACTATCCAGACATACACAGTGGGGTCTCCAGTTTACATGGCATGGAGACTCAGCCTAACTCCTTCCTGTAACATTTCCCTGTAACATTTCTGTGACCTGTACAGGCTGCAAGTGAAATTAATTGGTTTTTGTTTGCAACTTATTTATCTGAATTCTCATTCATTTGTTTTATTTAACTTATGTACTACACTTTGTTACAAAAAAATGCTAGAGTAATTTACACAATTAAACAAATGAAATGTGTTTTTTAAAAGAAAGTGCAACCCTAGCAAGGGACAATTTAGACCCATGGCTTTCTGCTTTCAGACACGGGTAGCAAAACTGCCTCTGACGCTGTCTTTCCCCCTTGTTTCTCCCCCTCACTCCGACTGCAGCTGATGCCTTCAGTGAAGAAATAGAAGAACAGTTTGATTTCAATGGACTCCTAAACAACCAAGTATCTTAATTGGCCTCTTTTTAAGGAGGGAAGAATACCTTTTCCCAAGATTTCCCTAACCACTGCACAGAAAACTAAAGTAATCAAGCAAACAACTATGAACTTTTAAAATTAGCTTTGTAAGTTATTTTCAAGTGTGTGCTCCATGCCTACTTTATGGTGTTCAGCAGAAGAAAACGGGTTGACACTTATTTCACATCCATTCCAGCTGAATGACGATTTTGCACTACCTGCAAGACCTCCTTACCCTTCGTGGGGACCCTAACTTATTCACAAGGAATTATTTGCAAGCTCTCATCACACCTTTGTTCACTCGGTGTACAGAGGCAGCAGCGCCACCTGCCCACAACCTGCGTAAAGGATGCCTGGTGCTGCCAAAATAGTTTCATTTTTAAGGGAATTCCTTTCTCGGCCTTCATGTTCTGCCTTGATAAAGATTTGAAAAATCCGACTCTACACCACTGGCGCAGAACAGAAGAATCATGACACACGGAGGTCTTGAGACACTCTATCGTATTAATTTCCTGTACTGTCACACTCCTTGGCACCTCCTCCTCTGAGAGCACCTCTGACACTCAGTTTTGACAGAAGGTTTGAGATATCACAGTGAGGAAAAATCTGCCAAGTCATTTCATATATCTTGGTTTTTGATGCCACTAGACTGTGAATTTTTTTGTAAGACAGTAAGCTATTCCCTTGCCTACATTTTTCCTTTGACCGGTACCTTCCTGCCACCCCCCTTCACTTCCCACCCCCACCATGAATACTGCAAATAAGAAACCCACTACCAAAGATAACTAATGGCTTTATGCCCTCGAGGTCACACATCCCTTCTTATTAAGTCAGGCTATCCTGTGATGGCGCAGGGAGGGAGAGCTTAAAAACACACACATTAGTAAATGCATAATGGTGCTGAGCACATGTGCCTCTGTTTGTTTGAGGCCATGCACTTGCATTGCAACAGGTGCCGACAGATCTACACCCTACTTGAATCTCTTAAAGTGCTTTTTGTCCAGGAAAAGAAAGAGCTGGTGTGATTTGTGTTATTTCCAGTGACTAGAACCAGCTGCTGTCCTTTTATTGCATTTTGTTTTGTTTACTCTTCTGCTGCATGGTTAAAGAATGGGACTGCAAGACAGAATTAGTTCAACCTTGCCTCTCTGGAGCAGACCACAGTTCATCTAGTCTAGCCTTCTGCTTCCCGAAGCAGACAACCAGGTGCTGCAGGATGTTCAGAAAGCAGGACAACAAAGATAACGGTCCTCTATTTGTCCTAAGCACCTGGTAATCAGAGGTGTACTGTATCTGTCCCTAGAGGCTCTGCCATAGCTACTAGTCATTGGTAGACCACGCTCTATGCCCCGCTTGTTTTGGTACAATGGGTGAAGGAATTAAAAGGATACCTAAAGCTCAGGCAGAGAACACAAGAGTGATTTGGGAGCTTTCCCTTCTTAGAACCTCTCCATCACCTCCCTTGTGTGATGTGTGAAAATAAAAAAAACTTCTATAACTGGAGAAATGAATTATAGACCCACACACGGTGCTATCAGAATTGTATTTTCCGCTAGTGGAGAGACTAAAAAGCAAGCTAGGTTCATCCCTCTTCTTAATCAAGGACTGAATTTTCCACAGCAAACCCATGCTCTCATCCTCCAGTTCAGGCTGCAAAATGAGAGTCGCTAGACCTTTTTTGCTTGGTAAATGAGGATTACGGAAAGACGCTTTAGCTATGCAAAATACTATATGAATAACTTGATGGTGATGGTTATGCACAAGAAGGATTTCATTGTCTGTTATTCTTTCCCCCATGTATAACCTACCTCACAGGGGTGTTGTGAGGCTAACGGCCAGTTCACATAGCCAAGCTAGGGCTGGCCACTTTGTTCCTTCGGCAGGTGATGAGTGTAATCATTTGACCAGGAACCAAAGTCCACACTGCAATGATGCAAAGCAAGCGATGTGGGGTGGTCAAGCAGGCCTGGCACAGGAGGGGGCAGGAGGAGCCACGCAGCAGCTACCAAGTTGAGAAGGGGGGCTTGCTTCCCATGGGTAGGAGCTGGATGAGACATCCAGAAGCCTTATTTGTGAATGATTGACAGCAGCAGTTTAGATTAGCCTGAGGACCACAACACAGGCCACCTCTATCCCTCCATCCTTGCTCCCATTATGCTATAACCAAAACAGAAAAAATGTTGTCCGGAGCTGGGCTGTATGGAAATGCCAGGCAAGGTCCCAGACTACTACTGCAAGGGAGTGGGGGGCAGGAATCCGCATTATACCTCTTCCACCACAGTGGAGTTTGTCAGAAACTTTGCCTCATTTTGGAAGAGTGAGGCTTGTTCCAGACCTACCTGAGCCTGGCAGCTGTGCTACGTCAGCCATGTGGAGGCTGCAGCAGCAGCAGCAGCAGCATAGTCACTGCCAGAGCAGCTCCTCCAATGTAGGACCACCTATGCAATACAGGGATCAGGAACACAGCTGCAGCCCATGCTGCCCAGGATGTGGCCATTCTGAGTGGCAATCAATAGAAGGGATTAGAGGGACATCAAAAGTTGCCTTCCTGTGAGTCAGACCATTTATCCATCCAGCTGAGCACCCTCTACTCTGACTGGCAGGGGCACTCCAGGACCTCCAAGGGAGAGCCTTCCATCACCGGCTACTTAATCTTAAGATTAACAAGCCATCGTCTGCAGGTGCCAGGGATAGGATTTTCTGCATCAAGCCATGTGCTCTGCCATGAGCTGCAGTCCTTTCCCAGCACAGAGGCCTGCAAGCAGGAGATGCCTCTCACCTGCCACACCTGCAGGCAGCTGCTCAGTTATGGTGGCTGAAGGCTGGGCTATCAGCTTAAGTGGTAAGTTCTCCTTCTTCCCTGGCTGATATGGCCAGCAGTCAAACTCTTTCCATGTGACCTCAAGCTGTTTCTGGTGCCCATATGCTCTGGGTAGAGCCCACATTGCTGAAGTGAAAGAGATGGGTATGCAGAGGTCAGTCCAGAACTGAGTTAAGCAGGCTTGCTCCTTGTTCACAGCAATTGAGCCAGAGATTCCAAAATTTAGGCACAGAGCCTCATTCCAATGCGAGGGTTTCCAGCGCTTCTCAAACTTGGGCCCCCCAGCTGTTGTTGGACTACAGCTCCCATCATCCCTGACCCCTGGTCCTGCTAGCTAGGGGTGATGGGAGTTGTAGTCCAACAACAGCTGGAGATTAGGTTTGAGAAGCATTGGCTTAATCAGTAACAGGCCTGCTCAAGTGGAGCCGCAATGGGCTGACCTGGATTCCCAATGTTGTGCATCGCTGCTGGTTACTGAGGCAGAGCGACAGGGGAGCAGGGAGCTTGACACAGCCGTGGAGCCAGCCCATGACACTCCATGGTCCTGATGCTGCAGCCAAGCCAAGCTCGCCACTGGCTTTCCCCTTCTTCCGTTGGTAACTGGCAGCGACACACAGCTTGGGGAAGTCAGGTGCTGGCTGTGGCCTTGCAACTAAAGGAGAGAGCGAGAGAAGAATGAATCTCTACCTGACCCAAGTGCCGCTTCTTGACCACTGAAGAATTACAGCCACCTCCCACAATCTGCTGCCAGGCAGGATTGATCTCCTATACTTGTTTGTTCCAGGTTGGTTTTTTACAAACACAACTTATGGCAAATGGGCAGTTTTCTCTCTCTTATCACTAACGGAGAAGAAAGTTAAGATCCAGAAGGAGCCCACTTCCCCAAAAAGGAACCAGTTAGAGAACAGGAAGTAGTTGTTACAAGACAGTGGGCAACAGAAGATTCAGAAAACCACCGTGAATGTTGATTTGTGTATTAACAGCTTTAATTTTAAAGAAGAAAACCCAGAAAAAAATATTTACAAACTTCAGTAAATAAGATATTGACTCCTGCAAACATGTCTCTCCTGTCTGCTTGTAAACTAAAACAGCCCCCCCCCCCAGGCGGGGGCAGGGATGTGTGTCTCACTGGTTCTTCCTACATAACTGAATGGAAGTTTTCCTTCCAGTGAGTTTGCAGCTAAGTGCTCACCTACAGGGGGGCTCAATGTGGGGCAGAAGCAGATAGAGCTGGGGCATCTCTGGCCCTCCTGATGCTGTTAAGACCCTGATTCCCGTCCGGTCCAGCAAGCATTTGCCCTGGGGTCAGGGATGGTTGGAACTGCGAGAGTCCCCCACCCCTTAAGTATACATTCTGCCTCCCTCTCATCTCTTCAATGCACAGCGGCTCCTCTGGGAAAATTTCTAGTGGACAAATGACAAGGAAGCACTTGATCCTTCAGCTGCTGCGTTCCCCCCACAAGGAGATCCAAACCTGATTTTCAAACACACACATACTTGGAACCTGAAACGGGTGGAGGGGGCAGGGGGCGCACCTTCTGCATTCCCACCCCTGGAAATTGCGCTCTCTCCTCTCCACTTCACGAGGGGTTTGGAAGAGACATGGAAAGGGAAACCAAAATTGTCCAGTTCCACCTTAATGGGCCCAAGGAACGTCCTGTGCAAACAAAACACCAGATCCCAGCCCCGCCAACTTTTCAGAGTGCCGGTTTTTAAATTAAAATAATATCAGCCAAGTCACATATACATAGAAGAAAACCTTTATAAGGTATTTCACTTCTATTGCACTTGGCTAATTGGGACAGTTCTCTTATTGTGCTAGAGCGCCCTCTTGTGGTGCCTGTGTGAAGGTCAGCCTCCTTCCCAGCAAGTGTCAAGGAAGTTCAGTGCCCAACTGGGCTTGGAATCCCTGTCCGGTTTCAAACACAACCAGCCACTGTCACCACCAACTCCTTACTACTTCCATAGTAAAAGAAACCTGCAACCACCACCGAGCCAGCTGAGCACAGATGAGGCCTGCAATCATCGTAAGTGAGGAGTACAGTTTTAATACCACCCCCAGACCATCACCTCAAGCCACACAGGGCAACCTGCTTTTTACTCTGGCAAGCTTGTGCTTTCTGCTGGATCCAGCACTTGCCAGCCGGAGCTCCGTGGAGGTTTGCGCTGTAATCCCAGGGCCCTGGTCACCAGCCTCCGAGCCACTGCCACGTCCGTCTGAGGTCTCTCTTTGGCCAGCTGAAGGAGCTCTGGGGGGAAATGGAAGAGAAGGAGTCATGGAGCAAAAGGGGTGCAGTGGGAGAGAGACGCAGCCTGGTCCGGGGGGGGGCGGAGTCTGAAGGGTCTGGCAAAAGGGGTTTGGACTCCCAGGTTCTCTTTCCACAGTACGGAGATGGGCTGGTCTAGACATGAAGGCAGCTGGGTGGGGCATAACATTGAAAGTGATGAACACCGTTTTTTAAGACTTCACAATTTTTTTAAAAAAGCCAAGCATGAACACTATCACCTCCCTGAAAGTATATTAAAAAAGAAAATCAGCACCTCAGAGAGAAAGCTTCTTAGTCCACTTCCTGCTAAGAGCCTGGCTAAATTCACTGGGCCAGTTCACACATAACAGGAATTATAGCTTCCCGATACACAAATGTGTCTGTGAACTGACTTGGATACTCTCCCCTCTTCCGATGTGTGCAGGAGGAAATGGTTGAAGGCATCCACCTTGGAGACAAGCCACAGTTTCCCATCACATCCAAACATGGGGTACTGTGATTCGTTGAAACTCCACTTAGCGGACAAAACACTGTGGCAAATACAGACTACTTCACAATTGCGTCATAAACTAGGATGAGTTTGAAACCAGAACATATTTAAAGCTTAAACAATATAAAACCAGCATCCCTTCAACACACAATAATGCTGACATTTCATATCCCTTCCTATGCAATATGCTGACAATCTGACAATAAGGAATTAACCTGGCAGCTGTGAGCCTCTAAGCCCCAGCCAGTGTCCCCTTTGTGAGGAGAAGGTAAGGACCTTGGAAGTACAAAGAGACGAAAGAGGAAGTTGGAAGGGCAGCACTCTGAACCACGTCTTCTTACATAGTTCTTTGGGAAGAGGGACTGACTGTTCAACCACTCTGGGAATTGTAGCTCTGTGAGGGGAAGAGGGGTCTCCCAACAACACTCTCAGCACCCTTAACGAACTACAGCTGCTCAGTGAACTACAACGAATTCACTGAGGGAAGAAGCCATTACAACTTAAAGTGGTCTGAAACTGCTTTACACATACAGAGCAGATGGGGCTTTAGACCTTAGCAGTAAAGTGACAGACATCCATCTACATATGTAAGCAAGGTCATTGCCTCTTGGGAGGTGGGGTGCCAGAGGTCTCTGAAGCAGCAGCAGCTTCAAAAATGCTCTTACTTGGCCGCTGAAGAGCCTTGATTTTTGACTGCCTTGTTCCGTGGATTAGGTGTCGGATCTTTAGGGAGGTATAGCTCTGTTCCAAGGCTTGAGAAGCTGAAAAAGAAAGTAAGATTTTTCAGAAATAAGACCAAGCATGATTTTGGACTATATCTCCCAACAATCCCAGCAAGCACACGCTGCCTAGGGCTGATGGGCATTGTAGTCCAATCACATTATCTGGAGGCTACCAGCTTGTGGAAGGCTGACCTGAACTCTCTCCCACAGTTGCCACAGAGGGAGTCAAATTATTTCTGGAGCAAAACATAGATTGATGCCATGATTGTTGCCCAGTGCTTGGGAGTGTCAAATGTCTAGGGAAGATTGTTCACGCCCATTCCTCCCTACACATGCAGCCACCAAGTGAGTGCACAAAAGGCTCCCCCAGCAACAGGAGGCAGGAGCCAGAGGGGATGCATATCGCACACATTTGGTTCCCATGCAACCCCAAACCATGGTTTTGCCTCTGGAAAGCAAGGATTGGGCTCAAGCATTGCCCCTTCCAATTTCATTTCCTAACTTCCTATTTGGGCAAACCATGGTTTGTTGATTCAGGCATCATAGCAACAGGAAAGGAGAGAGTCCAAGCTTCACTTGCACAATAGCAAACCATAGTCTGCCATTCCACATGAACTGCCTCTCTCCACAATCCATCAGTTACCTCCCTTTTATTACTCTCCTTGGCAGGGAACATTCCCTAAGAGTTGGGAGGACCAAGGAAGATCAGCTGCCTAGGAGATAAACAAACAACAGATGCAGAGACAGCCAGAGGTTCCTCCTTCCCAATACATAGAATCATAGAATCCTAGAGTTGGAAGAGACCACAAGGGCCATCGAGTCCAACCCCCTGCCAAGCAGGAAACACCATCAGAGCACTCCTGACATATGGTTGTCAAGCCTCTGCTTAAAGACCTCCAAAGACGGAGACTCCACCACACTCCTTGGCAGCAAATTCCACTGTCAAACAGCTCTTACTGTCATTTGTATGTCATACGTATGTCATTTGTAACCAGCTCTGCTTGTCTTGTGCATTCTCATGATCTGAGAATGCCATTGTTGGAGTGGGAAGGAGAGGAAAATGCACCAGACACAATTTAAGGGGAAAACAGGGGGGACATTGGTCAATCCTAAACTCACAGGCATTCTTACAGAAAATCCAAAATTACCTGCTGCCAAACTGGAGAAGATCCCAAGAGCATGAGTATCATCGACCCACTGTAGCTTAAATCCACTCTCTCTAAAAGACAGACCACAGTGTTGCTTGTCAGTTACATGAAGCCATGGATAGTTCCACCCAGATAAAAATATTAGAGGGCCTCTCTCTCTCCCCAAGGCACCCACACCATCCCAGTTGTACACGCTTGTCCCCAGGCCACACCTCTCACTGGCCCTGCTTTGCTTCCTCCTTGAATGCTTTTTCCTGGCTGGGATGTGTCCCTAAACTCTGCATCATGCCTCTGGCTTGCCAACATCTCCAGGTCTGAGTTGGGCACATGCCCTGCTTGAAATTTCATAGATACCAGTCAGTATGTACAGCCCTGAACCAGATGGACCAAACGTCTGATTCAGTGTAACACCACTTCCAGCATTCAGCCAGTCCCAACCAGGAAGTCCCTTGCCCATCTACTTACTGGAACTCTGCAAAGGCCTCCAGAAGATGCTCGGTTTTTAGCAAGGGCGAAAAATCATATATCTCTAGCACATGGCCAAAATCTCCTTCATTGATCTGTGCTTCCCCATAGCTGGAGTAATCAAATTGGATTTTCTCAATGCTTATGTCCTTTATGGTTAAGTAATTTGTGATCTAGGGGCAGGAGAAAAGAAGAGAAAGATCATTGCAAGAACAAGAAATATTTACAGATAGGAAACATCTGTACATGGAACACAGTCAGGATCAAGCTACACCATCAGCAGAAACAGGTGGCAAAGCTTTTTCTAGACCACTGTACCACTTCAGCATGCAGATGTACTGCTGCATTTTTCAACATTTCCCCATTAAAAATCACCCTGCAAGTAGAAAACTAGAAAGCTAGTCTTCTGTTTTCTTCCATGTCAGTTGTGGGGTACCTTTGAACCTACAGAAGTTGCTGAACTGTAACTGCATTAGCCTTGGTCATTGGCCATGCTAACTGATGGGACTTCTAGTTCAGGAATAGGGTTGAGTGTGGTATCGATACATCATCCAAACCCGGTTTGAAGTCCAGATCACGATAACAGTTTCATAATTTTTGACCTGGTAATATATTGTGTCCGACATTTCCGAAGGGGAAGAAGATTCCCCGATAGCTTGGAAAGAGCTCACCCACGTGCAAAGATCAGGGTCTCCTGCCCTTTCGCCTCTGACTGAAGACCCAACATAGCAAACGCAGGAGCCAAGCCAAGTCAATCTTATTGCCTGATCACAAAAAATAAACCTCTTACTTTGCTGATCTCCCTCCTTCTCCCTCTCTCTCCCAAGAGAGACCAGTAAGGAGAGAGTAGATTACAACAACTTGGGCTGGTCTGAAGTCCACATCCAGGAATCACCCCTCAGCTGCGGCTTCCTCCCCACTTTACGTCCTCCTTCCTCCTCATTTCAGGCCTCATGATATATCGGTATCTCACGATTTTTAGCTGGTGATATATCTGTTGAAAACTATAAATTGCCAAGGCCTCTTCAGCAGCATCCCCACCCCTGCTCTATGAGCTTGTTTTCTACATGCAAAGAGCAGGTGGTCTTCTGTGCTAGTCCTGCCCCAAGGAGACCCCCTGAGGCAGGACACAGCTGAATACAACCTAGGGGTTTCCCCCTCGGGGAGCCTTCAAACATGCAACACCCCACCAACAGCCAAAGTGGTACAGTCCAGAGACACATCCACACCCTACAGTCGAAGCATGACTATACCACTTTAATAGCCGTGGCTCCCTCCAAAGGATCCTGGGAACTGTAGTTTGTACAGACTGCTAGGAGTAATTAGGAAAACTAACCAGCTACAGTTCCCAGGATTTTTCTGGGGAAGCCAGACTGCTAAAATGGCAAGAGAGTGGATGGTGCAGGCCTGATCCAGTAACAGTTTTCCCCCACACGATTCTGCTGATCCACCTCACCCTTTTTTGTGCCGAAGGGCAGCTCTACACAGGAGGGGCTTTTGGGTGTTGGCTCAGCCCCAGAGTAATCCTTTGTTATGCTGCTTGTTGCTTGTTGCTGAAACTGAGGAAGGATCCTATGTCAGGGATAAAGGACCCAAATCTGCCTGTGGAGGTTCAACCCCTGGCGTCTCCAGGTAGGGATGGGCGACACTCACCGTGGGGCCTGCAGCACACCCGCAGGCTTCGCATTGCCCCAAACAGTCTGCCTGCCACCTCCTCCTCAGCTGTAGGGCAGCTGAGTGGGAGGAGGTAGGCAGACTCCTGGAGGCCCTGTGGAGCGTCCTGCCCAGCCCCGCCCCTGGGCACAAGACACGCGCGCCGCCCCAGGCGCCCAATTGGCTTGCAGGCGAGGGGAGAACAAGATGGCGTCGTCAGTGGAAGCACTGATTTGAGCTCCGCAGCAGTCGTGCGGTTTTTATTAGTTTTATCAGTTTTTTATTCAGCTCTTATCAGCCTCAGTATTTCATCTACAACATTTGGCAGCTGCTTTAACTAATATACTCACAAGGCTTGAGTTAAAAGCTCAAGTTAAAAGTCCCAGAAAAAGGAAGCACCCTACGGAGTTAATGAACCAAGACGAGATTTACTGTGGACAGCTTTATGACCTGCTAAATGGTAGGAAGAGGTGCTTAAAACCCAAGCTTCTTCTGTCAGGGTGAAGATTAAAGTAAGATCTGACTCTTGCTAAGTCTGACTTTTAAGACATTGAACCGAAATGACTGAGAATTGTAAGTAAGCAACGAACTTTACTTTTCTTTCTTCTTCGCTCTCCACTCCCCTGCTTCCTACAATACTCTCTAAGGTGTATTAGGATACTTCCAATTATTGTGGATATTGCTTCTAATCTCCACTATGGGCCATGGCAAGCGGCCAAGGGACCTGGATGAGGCAATGCCTCCCCCGAGGCCCAAACAGTCCAAGATTGATACTTTTTTTCTTAACTGTAACAGAAATAACGAGGAAGTTAGCTACACGGTTGAAACTCACAATCGTTTTAATCCTTTAATTGACCTCGCAGCCGATATAGAAGTGGAGGGGGTGAACTCGAAGACAACGAATAATGCTAACGATAATGACAAAGAAGTGAGAGTCACCTCGAAGGGGGAGCCCGAGTTGGCCCTGGGCGATGGCATGGGACTCGATCATTTCCAATTAATAACCAGGACCCTGCGCTGCATCTTTAAGAGCATAAATGGGATCTCCATGCAGGTGGATAATCTCCACCAAAAGTTTGAGGCCCATTTGCTAGAGCTCCAGCACAACCACACTCTGCCTCCGAGGGATTTAAAGGGACAGAGGTGTACCTCCCTTATTAGACATGAAAGTGGTACTGGTGGTCACCTCCTAAAAACTCAATTGGACTTTCAATCTCTGATTTTACAACCAAACAAAATATGTCTAACTATACACAGTAGGGACCCCAGGTCCCCAAGGTGGAATAATCCGAGAGATGTCAAAGATCATCTGAGGCAACTCCTTCAGATTTGGCCTCCGCTAATAGACCTCAGTACAGTGAAACTTTTAAACTACCACCATCGGCTCCAAAAAGTATTGCTCTCCTTCCAGTCTCCAAAAATTCCCTCCATACTGGTTAGGCGTAAAGCGTTTTTGGCCACCTGGGGCATCTTCCCAACAAGAGTCTTTAATGACACCAGGATTAAACCTCTCTTCCGCAGCACCGTACAAAAAGGTAGCCGCCCGCCAGACAGGCGCGACTCAGTCTTGAAACTCAAGTTGTCCACCCGGGAACCTCACCCTCCCTCTCAGCCCAAGCTTCCTGGTTTATCTACAAAGAAGCATGACCAAAGCGGGCCCAGCCATCTGGATGCCTCAGAGGAGAGGGACCTCATTTCATCCTATGGCGAGTTGCCATTAGTAGAACAGCAGGAAGTTATAAACAGGCTTGATACACTCAAGCAGCAACTTACACATGTACTTCAAGAGAAAATCTCCTCAAATCCTGGACATAGCAACCTATTAAATCAAAGGAACGCAGTTATGAAGGGGCTAACACCCCAGAAACCCCTGCCAAATACTGGGACTCCAATAACGGATGATTTGGCAGTCTGCCTGGCGGAAGCTCCTCATACACCGTCGCAACGCAGACCCCCTTCACCTCTACTAATAGATCTGCAATCAACTACCTCGTCCTCCGCCTTAAAGAGCAACGCGCCAAACACACCTCATCCTGGTAATCTGTCAATGTCCTATTCTTCTATGCCTGACCTGGAGTCTTCAATCAGTGCGGTCCAGTCAAATGACTCTATATCCTCGTCCTTTGCCAGTCAACCTCTTTTGGTAGAACCTCATTTATCCGCAACCTCTTCAAGCCAATATATAAACGTTAAGGAAGCCACTGTGCAAAGAGACAACTCAGGTTTTATTGAAGACCCTGCTGGTCACATCAATCAACTCACCACCCCTTCGATACCTTCGGTAGTACCTCGCCTGGCGCTGTCTCAGACCCCTGGCAATGTCCTTCCCACCAGCAACCAGAGCAATTGACTAGCACATAGTCCCTCCTCAAATTGCTTTAATGTGCTATCCTGGAATGTGGCGGGATGGACGTCCAAACAGGATGACGGGGATATGAAAGAGTTTTTAGCGAAATTCCAGATTATGGGTATACAAGAGAGCTGGTGCTTAGAATCTTCACACCCCCCCCCATCCCTACCGGGCTATGACGCCTTTGTGATTCCTGCGACCAAAACACATTTGTATGGGCGCCCTAGTGGAGGCCTGGTAACATTTGTTTTGCAGGAGCTTCAGCTTAATATCTCTCCTATCTTTTGGTTAGAGAGTAATTACATTCAAACTTTGCACATCACTAACAGCTCGCTTGGGGAATTCATATGTGTAAACCTGTACAATCCATCTACCTACTCCTCTTCTCATTCAAATCAGCTTTGGGAGGATTTAAGATTTATTCTAGATAAATCTGGGGCTGAATTTCCAAAGTCAGAGATCCTTATAATGGGGGACTTCAATGCCAGAATCGGAGCAGATATAAGCTTATTCACCGATAAGTCGCAATTATTCATAGAAGAGGAGTGGTTTCCTACGTGGAATTCACATGACAAGACCATTAACAGGGCTGGCATCATACTGCTGGAGTTCACTATAAACTGCGGGCTGCACAGCTTGCACGGCACACCCAAAGACTGGTCCGGGGGATACTATACTTTTCTAGGATCTAGAGGGGCAAGTGTTATAGATTACATCTGGTCCTCCTCAGCATTTAATGATGAGGCATATTGTTTCAATGTGTTCAACAGAACCGAAAGTGACCACCTTCCAATTGCCATCTCCTTCCACCACACACAGCTGGGGCCTCCCAGCTCACCACACCTCCAGGATTCACTGACCTTGGCCCCCGGACGTAAGAAGTGGGACATCTACCTGGAGCAAGACATAAAAGTCCTCCTAAATTCCCCTGAGATCCTAGCCCTGAAAGCTCAGCTGTTAACAATGAATGTGAATCATTTCTCAATTTTCCAGCAAATTCTAGCCTACTTGCTCCCTTCACTTACGAAACCTTCCCATGCTATTCTAACCTGGAAGAATCAAACTTGGTTCGACCAAGAATGTAAACAGTGCAGAAGTAGGCTTAGATTTCTTCAGTCTGACATGAAATCAGACAGCACTCAGAGCAAAATCAGGGAGTTAGCCCAATTTCGTTCATACTACAAGAAGCTGCTCCAACATAAGAAATTGCTCTTTGTGAAAGAACGCTGGACGGCTCTGTCAGTGGCCATTAAAACCCGTGACGACAAGAAATTTTGGAATTTAATTAATGCAGGTTTAAGACTCCCCTCATTCATTGTTAATAACATCACAGCAGCCAGCTGGCACTCTCACTTTGCTCAGCTGTATTCCGCCCCAGATTCCGACGTAAATGTAGTCACCACCCTTCCAGCATCTGCCTTGCCCACCTGGGAGCCAGTCTCCCCAGAGAGATGTACTCAACTAATTAGCATGCTATCAGGGGAAAAATCCCCGGGGGAGGATATGATACCACCTGAGGTATTTTTATCGAACCAGTCGTGGTGGGCCCCTATCTTAGCATCTCTCTTTACCACCATTAATGCTACTCTTAAGATTCCACCTAACTGGAAACAGAGCATAGTCATCCCAATACATAAAAAGGGGGACCCACAAGATCCGCGTAACTACCGACCTATCAGCCTGTTGGACATATCATACAAGGTTTACTCTAGATTCTTGCTAGAGAAATTAATCGAGTGGGCAGAAGAAACAAAGCTATTCCATCCGGAACAGGCTGGCTTCCGTAAAGGTCACAGCACATCTGGCCAATGTCTTGTTCTACTTACCCTGATTGATAAATACCTAAACAGGTTCAACTGCAAACTACACGCGGCTTTTGTGGACCTGACCTCTGCCTTTGACTCCATTCCCAGAGATAGGCTATGGCAGAAGCTTAGTTACACCAACATAGATAAGAGACTCCTCCTCCTTCTTATGGAAATTCATAATGACATATCGGCCAGAGTAAAATTCGGCCCTCTGGGAGCTCTTTCTGATTCTTTCCCTCTGAATAAAGGGGTCAAACAGGGTTGCCTCTTGGCCCCTTTTCTATTCAATTTCTATATCAATGACATCGTTACAACTATGAAGGCCCTAAATCAATCTGCCCCCTCCTTACAACAGCTCAAGATCCCCATATTACTCTATGCGGACGACATGGTGATACTGTCATTAACCAAGCTGGGCTTAAACAACACGCTCAGAGGGCTCATGACATATTGTGATACCAACTCCCTTAAAATTAATTTCGCCAAAACCAAAATTCTTACTTTTGGCACGAAAACTCGGAAGTCACTCTGGAATTTTGAGGGCCATTCTATTGAATATTGTTCAGCATTCAAGTATTTGGGTATCATTTTTCAGCATGGGCTTAGCTGGTCAGCTCACCTAAATACAACCATCCTGGCTGCCCACAGAACCATCAAAGCCTTGGAGAAATTCTACTATGCAAAAGGCGGCCAGTTGGTTCCACCAATCAGAAAAGCATTTATCAGCAAAGTCCTCCCGATGTTACTGTATGGGGTTGAAATCTGGGGGTGGAATTTAAAAACACTACAACGGCTGGAGATTCTACAAAACTCTTTTGCACGGAAGGTACTGGGTCTCCCCAAGGGCTCGGTTGCAGCACAGTTAAGAACAGAACTGGGCCTCCCCTCCATTGTTGCGAGAGCCCACATTAGAATTATTAGCTTTTATTGTAAATTAATCAATGCCCCAGGTTCCCTACTAGCCAGGCAAGCCTTTTTAACGTGTTCTCAAAGCAATAAATGGTCCAAGGCCATGGTGACTATTACTGCACGCTACTCTCTCCCAGATCTTGACTCACTGTCCTCTTGGGACAAACATAAAATCCGGGCCTGGATTCTTACAAGAGACGAGGCCATGGACCGGGCACAGTCCACCTCAGCTCGCCTCTCCATGTGGCTCCCTAAAGTGAAAGTGGTAAGATCACTTGCCAACTACTTGATAGACCTGACGGAGCCCAATTTGAGAAGAGCGTTTACTATGGCCCGCTTCCATTCTATACCCACGGCCTTCCTGCAGGGGATTTACTCTAAGACCCCTATTACCCAGCGTCTATGTCCATGCACAATGAATGAAGTAGAGGACTTCATACATTTCTTTTTCTACTGCCCTATTTATGAGCCAATAAGATCTAAGCTCCTCCTTTTAATCCCGTCCACCATTACATCTAAGGAAGACTGTTTGAAATCACTTCTTGTGGACGCAAATCCCCAAATCTCACGTGGGGTGGCAATCTTCATAGTGCAGGCTCTGAAACTCAGGGCTACTCTGACAGGGTAGCGTGCCCTAGACCTGGACCTGTTTTAATTCTTTTATTACTTTTAACTCAATATGCCGAGTCTGTTCTGGGGCCATTTTGTGCTTTATATATATCCGCATATTAGTTTTTGGCGCTGGCTACTATATCTTTGCATTATTGTCTTCGGGTAACTTAAATGTCACTACGCCAGCCAAATCGCCTCAATTTTGCTTGGTTGCTTGTCTCTAGTTTGTCTTTTTTTTCTGTATTGTCTTATTTTGCTATGGCTGTTTGCTAATGCAATAAAGGTTTGAATTTTTTTTTTGGCTTGCTCCGCCGCTGAGCACCAGGCAGCACAGCAGAAAGGGCTCCTGCTTAGCAAAAGCTGCCTTAGTGTTCCACAGCCATAGTGCTAAACCATGGTTTACTGTTACATCTGAATGCAGCCATAGTAGCAAACCATGGGTTACCGTTACATCTGAATGCAACCATAGTTCTAAACCTTGGCTTACTGTTACGTCTGAACCAACCCACTCAGAAACAAGTCTGTAAGTTAAAACTATTACCTCTTGTAAGAGTTCAGTGCCACAATCATCCTCAAAGATGCTGTCCTTTTCTTCCACTGCAGAGTGCCCCACACTTCTATCTCCAGAAGAGAATTCTAGCCCAGGCCACTGGTTACCTTCCAGTTCTACCACTGCTTTCTCCTGGCTTTCAAATACGAGGTTGGCTTTATCAGGATCAGATAGAGATGTACTCAAAAAGGGGAGAGCCTGTGGATCCAACACGGGTCGATCTTTGCCACTTTCTGTTACAGGAGTGGGTGCCCCATCTGGCCCAGAATCACAAGGACTACTTTGACCCTGAGCGTCCCCGGAGGACTCTGTCTGGCTACACTCCAGTGCCTCAGTGCAGTCCTTGTCCTGGGTTTCCAGTGCTGATGCCTCTGGGCTTCGTTGGAATGCAAGGTCATCCACAGCGCCATCTTCTGGCAAGGGCAGCATCTCGCTACATTCTACCTCAGTGGCACAAGCACAATCATCACCCTTATCTTCTGCAAGGGAGAGATCATTATGAGGCTCCGACAAAATGGCATCTGCAATGTCTCTCACATGGTCTTCCAGAACAGGTGGGAAAACACCACTTTCCAGTACAGGGGAATCCTGGTTTTCTGCAACTGATAAGCTTACGCTCAACTCTAGAGCAACGGCATCTAGAGGTCTCTCATTCTGGCCTTCTGGCAAAGGATGACGTCCACTTTCTTTGGACAGCACCCCACCAGAAGGCTCTTTCTTTTGCTCTTCTGGAAGGCCTGAGGTTTCACAGCACTCTAGGACCAAATCATCTCTGCTATCTTTACTAGGGCTTTCCAGTCCAGTCAGGCTTGGGCTGCTCTCCAGCACCGAGACTACCTGGCTGACGTTGCTTTGGCCATCCGGCTTTGATGGATTAGACACACATTCCGACAGAAGGCAGCTTGAGTGCTCCATAGCCCCTTCGCCACTTCTACCACTGAGCTCCAAATTATCTGTACACATCTCTCTAGGGCTTTCAGCCTCTGGGTGATGCACGCAGGGATCACTGCTGGCAGGTAAGCTGTTGGCAGCTGGAATCCTTTTGGTGCCATGAGTGGACATCTGGTGATCATCCTCACTGACCCCAAAGCTGGCCACCTCACTCGCAAAGGCCTCCGCACCTTCCTGCCTCAAGCCCTCAGGCTTCTTGCGCATGGCTCTGGGAACATACAGAGCTCTGTCCGGCTTCCTCCGGGGCTGCCTCCTGCCCCGGCCACCTCCCTTCCGGCCTTGAGAGCCATCTGCCAGCGTGTCCATGTGATGTGGGCCTCCTCTGGGTCGGCCTCCTCTGCTTCTCGACTGGGGAGGGTGGCCTGAGCTGGGGGCACTGCTACAGGAGCCATTTTGATCATCTGGTTCATCTGGCAACCTAAACCCAAGAGAGGAAGAACAACAGCAGAAAGGAGACGTTCCAAGGAGCTCGTCATGTGGGAACTCCCTGTGAACTGCTCCCTTTCAAGCATGGGACCCAAAAACAAATCCAACCTTACCTAACCCTATTGCAAGTTTACTCCAAATTAAATCTCCCTGTGGCCCTCTGGGACTACAACTCCCATCATCCCTGACCACTGACCACATCCCTGGTTTGCCGCTTTAAGCGCATGAACATCAGGTCCTGCTTACATATTTCTTATAGAGTAGGAGCTGATAGACCTTTCCAATGGGCCACCCAATTACCAACCCTCCCCCCCCCCACGTCAGGTGGCAGCTTCAAAGGAGCTCGCTGTCAGCATCAATCCCATCAGCCAGTAGCTCATGTTTCCCAGAATTCCTGTTTGCTGCCTCATGTGGAAGGAGCTTCTGAATTCCTCAACACTCAGGAGCCCGGCTTACATTTAACATAATGGATGCAATGTGAGTAGTGGGGAACCTCCCAACTGGAGTCTGAATTTGGCTTGCAAAGGCTGTCTTCCCAAGCCATGCCCACTTGCCCCACACCGGATGTCCTATATGGAAGGTGTGGGGCAGATGCAGTTGGAGCTGTCTGCTGAAGGAGGGTTTTGCCAACACCACTGACCATCAGCACTTGCAAACCCCTGAGGAAAATGCCTCCACTGATGTCATGCTGACAGCAGGCAATTGGCAGATGAGCAGCTCAGCCCACCTGTCAAAATGCCCCACTGGAATTGTGGGAGATAAGAATTCAGCCCACAGGCTGGGAAAGTTTCCCCGCTGCAGTCCTTGCCCTTGGGGAGAAGGTGAGTCAAGGGCTGTAGAACTGTGAGAGTCCAACCTGATCGCTGAGTGACAGACCACCGTCCTCCTCCTCCAGCCTTCTCCAACCGAAAAGCTGCTCAGCTGGTCGACATCATCCACAGTCCTGTGGATCAAGTACCGCAGGCGACTGGACAACGGAGGAAACAAGAGGACTCTGGAAAAGGAAAGGTAAAGGACAGAAGAGTCAGCAGGGAGTGGTCAGAGGTTGTGCTAGATGTCCCCCAATTTCTGGCCATTTTGCAGCTGTTCTAAAAACAACTCGCATTCATAAATGGGTGGGGAAAGACTAAAGCCCTCCAGATATCACTGAACTGCAACGCAAATCATCTCTAACCATCAAGGGTGTTTTTTTTAGTGTACAGTCAAACACCAAATGTGAGGTTGGAAAAAATGTGCATTTGGACAGCTGATAATGTAGTTTGAAAAAATGGGGAGGGAGATATCAGACATATTAAGCATAAATGCATGTGACAGGCCCCGGCGGATGGAGCGGACAAGACCAAGAGTGGGTCCAACGGTCAAGAAGGCAGTTTCTGCATATGCTGTCGAGGGAAGTGAGGGGCAGATGGGGCTCGTCCACCTGGGAAGGAGGCCCACCTAGGAGAAGGAAAACTCTGATCCTAAACCTCCACTGCCTAGTGGAACAGCTTCAGGAGAAGAAAAGACTCAGGAGTAAACCCTACACAAATCCGGAGTGAAGTCTCTAAGGCAGTTGGGTGGCGTCTTGTACGCCTTCTTCCAGCAATGTCTCGCTCTGCTTTCCTTTGGACCGCGTCTTGTCGTCTGGGCAGCCCAGGACCTCCATACAAAGAGCCCAGGCTTGTGCCCCAGGGAGGTCACTTCGGTGCTGCAAATGCAGCAGTTTGACTTCACCCCCAGAGGCCCACTCCACTGTATCTCAAGACAGACAGGTGCCAACAAATAGACAATGGCAGGAACAGAATGTGCACGTATTATATAAGTGTAGAACGGACAGCTTCCATACTTAATTTAAGCTGCCCAAGCCATATAAAGCACCTTCCTCTTGTTCATCTTTGGGCAGGGAGCGTCTCACTGCAACCTTGAATAGTAAATACCTTTAAAGAACTCCATTTTCTGTGCCTGCAAGTTATGGAACTAAAGCAGATTCATCAATGAATCGTTGCTCTATAGCACAGAAGGGCTCCTAAGCCCTGGGGAGAAACTGCCAGTGATACTGGGTAGAAGGAAGGAGCAAGGCACACTTTGTATTTGCCCAGCCTTTCTTTTTCCCTTTTCCATTTTTTTTTGGGGGGGAGGGTGTCTGATTGGTATTGGGGCCTGTGCTATTTAACTTGTTCATAAACAATCTAGAGTTTGGGGTGAGCAGTGGGGTGACCATGTTTGCTGATGATAGTAAACAGTGCAGAACAGAAAGGGAAGAGCTCCAAAGAGACCTTTCCAAATGGAGGGAATGGTCAGTAAAACGGCAATGTAAGCAAGTGTAAATTAGGGGCAAAAAATAATAATTTCACATGAGGTCCGAACCGGCAATGACTGACCAGGAGTGAGACCTTGGAGTTCTGGTGGAGAGCTCAATGAAACTGTTTACCTGATGTGTGGGAGCTGTGAAAAAGGCAAATTCTATGCTGGAAATCATTAGGGGGGAAACTGAAAATAAAACTGCCAATAGGATAATGCAGTTATACAAATCTATGATGCAACCACATTTAGAATACAGTGGTGCCTCGGGTTAAGTACTTAATTCGTTCCGGAGGTCCATTCTTAACCTGAAACTGTTCTTAACCTGAAGCATCACTTTAGCTAATGGGGCCTCCCACTGCTGCCACTGCATGATTTCTGTTCTCATCCTGAAGCAAAGTTCTTAACCTGAAGCACAATTTCTCGGTTAGAGGAGTCTGTAACCTGAAGCGTCTGTAACCCAAGGTACCACTGTACTGTATACAGCTCTGGCCATCTCATCGCAAAAAGGATATTGCAGAGTTGGAAAAGGTTCAGAAAAGGGCAGCCAAAATGACCAAAGGGATGGAGAAACTCCCTATGAGGAAAGGTTACAGCATTTGGGGCTTTTAGTTCAGAGGACAGGTGAGGAGGAGGAGACATGACAGAAGTGTGTCAAATGATGTACATCATGGAGGAAGGGGAAAGAGAAAAACTCGTCTCCCTCTCGCGTTAACACTAGAACATTCAATGAAGCCAAACGTTGGAAGATTCAGGGTGGACAAAAGAAAGTATTTATTCACACACTACACAGTTAAACGGTGGGATTCATTTCCACAAGCAGCAGCGATGGACACCAACGTGGAGGGGTTTGAAAGAGGGTCAGAGAAATCCAGGGCTATAAGTGGCTACTAGCCACAATGGCTCCACTCTGCTTCCAGAGTCAGAGGCAGCAGCCCTGAGGGCCAGAAGCTGGGAATCACAGGCGGGGAGGCTGCTGTTGTGCTGAGTTCGTTTGCCTGGTTTCTATAGGCACCTGGTGGGCCACTAGGAGAGCAGGATGTGAAACTGAACAGGCCTTTGGTCTGATCTAGTAAGGCTCTTCTTAGGTCCTTAGCCTTTTCCGAACATGGTCGCCCAAGGCGTCTTCCAGCTTGGGCACCTGCAGCGCTGGACTTGGGAGACCAGCGCTAGCAAGCATGGTGTCCTCTAAATGTTGTTGGATGCTGCCTCCAATCAGAGCCAGCCAGCGCACAGCCAATGGTCAGGGACCTGGAGGGCACCTCACTGCCTCACCTGTGGCAGACCGCCATACAAAGGCCTAAAGCAGAGGAGGACAGCAGCATCCGCCAGCTGCTGACAGGAGCCACTTACTTCTCCAGCTGGTTGTGAAGCAGGAAGTGGTCCAATTCCTCCACGATCTTGTTGACAAAGTCATTCTCCGTGGGGGAAAGGAATACACCGTCCAAACAGCGCAGCGCCAGGGTGACGGTGGGGTGGTGGCCTGTCGGGAGGAGACAAAGCAGGGTTAGCCATCCGACTGGTGAAAAAGAAATGTATTCACTTTGTTAGAACAATTAAGCATGGCAAGTTAATCAACAGGCTTGATACTCGTTTGCAGATTACATTTCTTTTTTGAAAAAGCAAATTTACTGTAAAACAGTTAAAAGTAACTTTAAAAACAACTTGCTGTAAAATGAACGCAGGTGGATTAGATTACCAGAAATGTGAATGAGTTAGTGAACTTCTTCGGAAGATAGGAAGCTGCCTTGTGGTCAGTATTGCCTACACTGGCTGGCAGCAGGAGGGAAGTGTCCCTCAGCCCCACCTGGAGATGCTGGGACTGAACCTGGGAGCTCCTGCATGCGCAGCAGATGCTCTAACCTGGTCTTTCCCTAACTTGGGTCTCCAGCTGCTGTTGGGCTACAACTCCCATCATCCCTAGCTAGCCGGACCAGCGGGCATGGAAACTGCAGTCCAAACGCAGCTGGAGACCCAAGTTCTGGAAACGCTGCTCTCACCAGTGAGCAGTTATGGCCCTTCCTCCTCCTAATTGGCTGTGTCGAAAGACCAGCTGCAAAGTTCTTTAAAAGGGGGAATTCATGAAAAAGAGCATCTCTGTTTCAAAGAGACAAGTTTTTAAAAGGCAGCTGGGTGGAGCAGACAGCAAGCACCAGAAACTGAGCGTCCTCGAGTGACACCGTCTGATGGGTCAACTGGCCGGGGCGCCAAACCCGGGACGGGGGGGGGGCGCTTTTAGGAGACAAAGGCAAGAGGGAAGGGGCAGCCGAATCCCGAAGGGAGAAGCCCCGGGGGCGAAAAGACCTGGAGGAAGCAGGCGCGTTTTCTCAAGAGCTTGCTTTGAATCGGAACCATTTTGCCCCCCCCCCGCGAAAACGCTGCCGGGTCCGGGGGGGGCTGGCAAGCGAGGGGGCGGCGGAGGCTCCGTCCGTGCGGGGCCCCAGCGCCGCGCCTGCCTCCCTCCCGCCGCCCAGCAGCCCCGCCGCGCCCCCTGCCCGGCCTGCCCGCTCGCCCCGCGGGGACCGGGGCGCGCCCGGAGGGGGCAGCGGCCTCGCCACGGACAGCCGGCTGGTCGCCCCGCCGAGGGCACGTACCGCAAGGCCCGGCCTGCAAGGGCTCCCGGGGCGGCGGCGGCGGCGATGATGATGATTGCGGAGGCTCCTCCCTCCGCCGGCGGGGCTGCAGTTACAATTGCAACCGCAGCTGCTGCTGCTGCAGCTCCTCCTCCTGCCCTCCCCTTTTATTGCCTTCTGTGAGTGGTTGGAGCAGCCGCACAGCGCCACCTCCTGCTCTTGGATCGGGCGCAAAAAGCGCGCAGCCGGCTCCCTTCCACAGTCATCTAGGAGGAAATGGGTTAGCTTACACCGTCTCTCGCCCTTTAAGGAAAGGTGGGCTACCATTACAAGAAACTAGCTTCTGAATACGCAAAGCTGGTCTGCATTTCTGTGATGCATCCATACCTGGCCAGGTGGGGTCAAAAAAGAAGAGAGGCGGGTGAAGCTTCCCGTTTTAGGATGAATTCAGCGGCAGCACATTGGCAGGACTGAGATTGCTGTCCTAATCCCATTTATCTAGAAGTGGGCCTCATTGAACTCAGTGGTAATTAACTTTGGAGTAGATAAGCTTAGCATTGCACTACCTAGGTACCTCTGAACGTTTTTATGAAGCTTCCAGCAATGCAATTATACGTTTACTCAGAACTAAACCCTACTGAGTTCTGTGTATAGAATTGCAGCCTGCACATTGTGTACAAGCTATGCATGCTGCTTCTTTGTTGATTACTCGTAGCTGAGTAAGATTCTCTTCCATGAACACAGTGGGTCTGTGACTGTGGAGGCCAATTCTGGATCCACATGTCCTTCTGCAGTGGGGTTTCCATGCGGGAGTTGATCATAGTGAGGGTTTGCCAAGCGTGCCTTCCTCTTAGCACGTTTCTCCCTTTCGTCCTGAGTTCGAGCGTCTTCAAAGCCCATGACATCTTTGGTAAAGGCTGTTCTCCAACTGAAACGCTCACAGGCCAGTGCTTCCCAGTTGTTGGTGTTTATACTACATTTTTAAAGATTTTTGCCTTAAGAGAGTCTTTAAACCTCTTTTGTTGACCACCATCATTATGCTTTCCATTTTTAAGTTCGGAATAGAATACAGTAGTTGCTTTGGAAGACGATAATCAGGCACCTGAACAACATGACCAGTCCAACGAAGCTGATGTTGAAGAATCATTGCTTTGATACTCATGATCTTTGCTTCTTCCAGTTCACTGGCATTAGTTCGCCTGTCTTCCCAAGTGGTATGTAAAAAATTTTGGAGACCCCATTGATGGAATCTTTCGAGGAGTTGGAGATGGTGTTTACAAGTGGTCCATGTTTCACAAGCATACAGTAAGGCTGGTAGTACAATAGCTTTGTAAACAGGCATTTTGGTTTCCCTGCAAATGTCCCATTCCTCAAACACTCTGCCCTTCAATCGGGAGAAAGCTGCACTCACCGAGCTAAGGCAATGCTGGATTTTGGCATCAATGTCGGCCCTTGTGGAAAGGTAGGGAAAGTGATCAACACTTTCCAACATTATACCACTGAGTTGGATTTGTGGCGCTGCGAAAGGGTTGTTTTGTGCTTGTTGGTGCAGCACTTTGGTTTTTTGGATGTTGAGCGATAGGCCAAGGCTTCTGCGAAGATATTTAGGATGGTTTGGAGGTCATCCTCTGAGTGTGCACACACTACATTGTCATCAGCATATTGTAGCTCTGGCAATATGCTGATTAAGATTAAGTTATGATTAAGATTAAGATTAAGATATGCTGATTAAGATTAAGTTATGATATGCTGATTAAGATTAAGTTATGGTAATCTTAACTCTTTGCTTTCAGCCTACTCAAGTCAAAGAGCTTTCCATCTGTTCAATATAAGATTTCTTTCTTTTTTAAAAATATTTTTTATTGAATGATTTTATGTTACAAAAAACATTACAACCATACTACCACAAAATATAATTGAGAAATAAAAATTACATACATCAATATTTTGTTTGTTATTTGTTATTTACCGTATTATTTTCTCCCAAACATTCCATACAAAAAACACACCCGCACAAACACACACACACACACACAAAAATAGTGATAATAACGAAAATAAACATTTTTCCCCTTTTATGTTACAAAATCTTTTCTTCAATTTTGACTTCCTGTCAAGTCCCTTCACATATATTTTCTTACAATTGAATGTACACAAAACAATAAACCTTTCTATATAGATTTTCCAGTACATTCAGAAAACATAATAAATCCTTAATTGTTATCCATCTCCTTTTACTTCCTTTGTCACTCGGAAGCTAGCATGGAGTCAAAACTATTATTGTATTTTTAAACATATCTTCTATAATCATCCCATTTTTCCGCAAATTTTTGCTTTGAGTTTCCTCTGAGTTTGCTAGTCAATTGAGCCATCTTCACAAATTTAATTTGCCAGTCTGTTATTTTTGGAGCCTCCTGATCTTTCCATCCCTTGGCAACGAGTATTCGAGTTGCTGCAGTTGCATACAAGAATATCTCTCTTGAATTTTTGGGATCTCTTTGTCTAAAATACTTAATAGAAATGCCTCCAGTTTTTTTGTAAAAGTTATCCCCATCATCTTTTTTAATTCATCGTATATTTTCCCCAAAAAAGTCTTAATCTTTTCACACGTCCACCACATGTGGATCATGTCACCGTTATCGATATAAGATTTCTACCCCGTGGAGAGCTTCCCTTTGACAATGTATGGGATCATGGCAGTGAAAATAATGAATAGAGTTGGGGTGATAATGCATCCCAGTTTGACACCTAACCCCACTGTGAATGGTTCACTTTGAGAGCCATTGTTATCTGCGATTGTTGCTGTGATATTATCATGGAGGAGTTCAAGGATGTTCACAAATTTATCTGGGCAGCCAATTTTCAGAAGGACAGTCCACAGGGCATTACAATTTACAGTGTCGAAAGCCTTAGTCAAGTCAATAAACGCCATATACGGGGGTTGGTTTTGCTCTCTGCATTTTTCTTGAAGCTGTCGAGCAGTGAAAATCATGTCCATTGTCCCCCTAGAAAGTCAAAAAACATTTTAGGATTCAGGAAGGGTAGCCTCAGATATAATTGGAATACGGTTTGCTAAGATCCTTGACAGAATTTTGCAGGCTGCAGCTAATAAAGAGATGCCTCAATAGTTTCTGCAATCTGTTCTATCACCTGTTTTAAAAAGGTTGATAATTTTGGCATCCCTAAAGTCTGCTGAGATCTCCTCTCTCTCCCAGATTTTTTCAATGAGCTTGCGAAGTTGTTGTGTAAGTTCAATTCCACCCACTTTGAAAACTTCTGCAGGTATCCCATCAGGTCCGCTGACTTTGTTGTTTTTCATTTGGTTAATAGCTGTACACAACTCTCCCAGACTGCAAGCTCATCTCTGATTTGTTTTTGTGGAATTTGTGAGAGGACCTCAGCAGCTACGAGGAAGTTGCAGTTAAGGAGATGCTGGTAATGTTCTTTCCAGCACAGTGCAAAAGCTTATTTATCCTTTAGAAGTGTGGTACCCGTCTGTTGAGCATAGATCACGGCGATCTTTAGCTCAGATAATTACATACTCAAAGAGGTGCCAGTGGTTCGACTGAGGGTGCCTCCGTGATATTTTAAATTTATTTTTTTGTCGAAAGAGTGTGTTGGTAATAAGAAGGTTGTGTGCTGCACATATAGTCAAAGTAAGATTCCGTTCTGGTTGCTGTTGCCAATTCCTTCATTCGCAATAGTCCCAGGCCACAGAATGAAATCTCGCCAACTTTGCATTAAAATCACCCAGGCATCTCTGATAGGATGGCATCCAGCTAGGAAAAGAAAATTTCTTTAATGTCTTCATTGGCATCCAGTGTTGGTGCATAAGTGCTTAAAATAGTAGCCTGTTGGGTTTGGGCAAGTTTTAATTGAAGGGTTGAAAGTTGCTTATTAATGCCGGTAGGGATTTCTGACAAGAGCTTCACAAGATCATTTTTGATAGCAAAGCCTACTTCATGTATTCAACATTCTTGTTCAGGTAGACCCTTCCAGAAGAATGTATAGCCTCCTTTTCCTTCCTTCAATTGTCCCTCTGCTGCTCTTCGAGTTTCTTGAAGCGCTGCAATATGGATGTTAAAACATCTCAACTCTCGTGCAATGATGACAGTCTTGCGTTCGGGACACTCATTACAGTGATACCTCCGGTTACGAACTTAATTCATTCCGAAGGTCTGTTCTTAAGCCAAAACCGTTAACCTGAGGCGGGCTTTCTCTAATGGGGCCTCCCGCTGCTGCCACACCGCCTGCGTGCGACTTCCGCTCGCATCCCGGGGCAAAGTTCGCAACAAGGAGCATCTACTTCCAGGTTAGCAGAGCTCGTTACCCAAAGCATTCGTAAGGAGGATGGTACATTACACCCAAGGTTCCACTGTATCTGCGTTATCCAACAAAGTCCTATATTCCATGTTCCATGTTCTACATATGCAAAGCATATTCTTTCCCTCAAAGAATTCTGGGAACTAGTTTACGCCTCCCAGTTACAGTTCCCAGAAACCCTGAGCAAACTACAGTGTCCATAATTATTTAAGGGGCCTGAGCCCAAGAGAAGGGATGGGGACCCTTCAGGCTGTGAGCCAAATGTGGTCGTCCTTCCAGATCACATCTTTCACTGGTTCTGCTCTGTGCCCTCAAGAACTTTTGCCTGAATGGAGTATCCTTGAACTGTGGTCACGCTTCTTGCTTTTTAGAAATGTAATAATAATAATTGAGCTGTATAAATTCACCGAATATGCGAGATGGAGCAGGGATTTTTCTGTAACTGGACCAAATTGAGGAATTTAGTGACAACCCCATTTGAAAGGAGGAATGAAGCCTTGTATAGAAATACATCAAATATAACTCTTGGATTGTCAGAATTTATGAAATAAATATTTGCTTGTCACATCGGTTTACAAATCTTTGCGACTGCATAAGATTTTTAGAACTGGAGTTTGGTATGAGACAACTTTAGGGAAAAGAAACTGTTGAATAATTAATTCTTTGTTAAACTTTAATAAAGTACTTTCAAATAATATTTTGAAAATCATATACACCCAGTTCTTTGGAGTCTGACAGAATGGGAGACTCATAAAATAAAAATTGCAACTGTTTTGTTTTTGT